CCTGTACAGCTTGCTCCTGTTCACTGTTTCCAAGGAGAAGCTGACAGATAATTTTTTAAAAAGAATTCTCAACAAACAACAAGGTGAACATAAGCAACTTATGTAAAACAACTTCTTTTCCCCAGGGTAAAATTTCAAGCTTAATTTGATCATTAATGTACCAAAAGAGAGCGGGGATGTTTGAAGGGTTGTCATGTAGATGGAACCAGCTTTTTTCCTGCTGCTCCAGGGAATCGGATCTGAACCACTGGATTCATACTATAAGAAAGGAGAATGCAGCTAAATATTAAGAAGAGTGCCCTGATGGTAAAAGCTGTTTGACAGTGGAGTGGGCTGGAAGTGGTGGGCTGTCCTTCATCTGAACTGGACAGTCATATATCAGGGATGCACTAAGTGGAGATTTCCTCTATCAACAGGGAATTTGACCCATTGATCCTTGGGGTCCCTTCCAATTCTACAGTTCTGTGATACCATAACATCTGGCAGCAGTGTGGTTGCTCTTAACATTTTTCTTTGTTCATATTGTCAGTCAAAACACAACTCCCATGAAGTGGGGAAGTAGCCTTGGAGAGAAGAGAATAAAACCAACTTCTTTGTAACTGAGTATAACTATGTGCTACCAGCTGATTAACAAGTAAATGTAAACAACACATATTTTGAGAGATGGACATGATGCATAGCCCTACATGGCATTTCAACTGAGTAGTGAGCTAAGTAAAGGCCAATAACTAAATCCTGATAAGATAGAAGAAGCATAGGTGAATGTTTCTGGGATGTGGGATCTAACAGTTCTGAGTAAGGTTGCACTCATGCCAGAAAAATACTGTATCTATTTTGTTGTTGGAATTGGATGAGAGAGGCTTGGGTTCTTTAGCAATCCTAGGTCCAGGTCATCACCACTGCTAAGAATGTCTATTCCCAGCTTCGGCTGGTACTCCAGCTGCACCCATTCTGATCAACTATTGCCTACCTGCTGTTATCCACTCATTGGTAACCATGAAATTTGGTTGCTCTTATGAGTTCAATATGAGGCTACTCTTAGGACTAATGAAGAATGTGACCAGGTTACTGCTTGGGGTGTTCTACTCTTCAAGCATTACACCTGTGTGACGGGATCGGCACTGGTTGCCAGTTCCTTGCTGAGACATGTTTAAGATGTTGGTATAAGTCAACAAAGCCATAAACAGCACAGCCCCAGGTTACCTTAAAATCCATCTCTCTTTGTACCAGTTCTCCCTCAAGTCACTATGATCTTCAGGCAAGGCCCTGTGGGTCTGTTGTTACAAGCTCCACATTTTCACTTTCTCTGTGATGGTGTGTGTCCTGGGGAAAGATGTGCCCTGTGTGATACTTCAGCCTCCAGTGCTTCTAGGCGCTTACTGAAGACATCGTCTTTTCAGTTTATCTTTTCCCAGCTCCTGGCTGTTCTAAACTGCATCTAAGACATGAGCATGGTTTATTTCAGTATTTTATAATGTTGCTATAAAGGGCTTTGGGATTTGTCCAAATGAGAAGCGATATGGAAATATTTTTAATAACATTAATAAAGAAAACAAGGATGCTTCTCCATATGCACAATCCTACAGTACATATGTACGTGCCAATCAGTGCATAATCAAGATTGTCCACAATTCAGAAGCTTACAAATAGCATGCTTTCCCTCTCATACACATTTCTATACTTTCTAAACAGTGATGCGTACTAGACATGGGATATTCGTATTTGAATATCACAAGTGCCTGGGAAAACCAGACCCTCCCCCCCCCAAACTGGCATGTCCACTTACCGCTCATCCGTGTAGCTCACACAGTTGGCATAGTTTCCGTCGCACCAATCTGGGAAGCAGCCCAGTCATCACTTCCCCACCTCACCACACAGCTGACTGCTCAACAGCTGAGCGGTGAGACTCGTCTTCCTGCCTCCTTGCCAGAGTGGTCAGTTACGCGGGGAGGTGGGGAAGTGCCCGTCGAGCTGCTTCCTGGACTGGTGCGATGAGAACAACGGCACCTATGCACACTCTGCGGGTCAAGTTTTCCCAGGCGCCTGCAGAGCCAATATTAATATCCCCAGTGGTATGAATACATATATCTCATGTCTAATGCATATTTTGTTAATTTACAGCTAAATAGAATTTTATGTGTTGTTGCAAGCAAGCTTTACATGTCCTTGTTGCATAGTAGACCTTTTGCATGTTTTCCTTATTGACCTATAGAAGCAACAGCTTTAAACTGTTCCCATTGGGAATGTTTGCAGTTTTTGAAGTTAAATATAAAAATATAGGAAGCTTTGCACCGGGCAACTCTGTCTTCCTCTTTTCAATGTTGCTCCTTTCTGATTTATCCCGTGTTAGCTCATCCTTACCCTCATAAAACAAAATTGAAAATAAAAAAATGAAATTATAGCTTGAAGCAAGATCTAACTTTTACTATACAAACTAGAGCAGTTTATTTTTATGAGGTAAAAATTATTTGCCTTATGTTTGTTTCAGAATGTAAATATTCCTATTTGAGTAATGATTGAACTGCTTCTCCCTTTACATAGGAAAGTTTCTTTTAATCCACTATATCTGGTAGAAGGCATTGATTTGGTTTCGGAGATTACCTATGGGACTAACATTGCTATATGTACACTGTTTAATATTAACAGAATTATTCTTGAAGAGAAATAGCATTTTTAAAATACATTCATAATTTAAACAAAAATCCTCTTTAGATGTTTTAAAATCTTTAATTTTTTAATTATCTACCTTTATCCAACAAACTTAGCGATTGCCAATATCAGTAAGAATAAGAGTATAGAGACTTCTGGCTTGCAGGGATCTGGTTTAATTTTCACTAGGACCAGGATGTTTGCCAATCAGTACAGATTAGGAAATACATAAAATTAATGAATAAACTATTTCTGAACATATTCTCCATCCAATGAATTACATTTTCACTATTAGAACCCACAGTCCTTTCAACATGAAAATCTGTGCATTTTTCTTCCAGCTTCTTTTATTTATTTATTTCAATTATTTATATGCCACCTTTCTCCCCATAGGGGACCCCAGATGGCTCACAACAGGTAAAATAGGAAATTTTAAAACACTATATAAATACAGTGGTGCCCCACTTGACGATTACCTCGTTAGATGAGGAAATCGCTTAACGATGTGTTTTTTGTGATTGCAAAATGTTTAGATAGGGAAAATTCGTTTTACGACAATCAGAAAACAGCTGATCATCAGGTTTCAAAATGGCCACCCACTGTTTAAAATGGCTCCCTGCTGTGTTTAGGAAGGCTTTTTCGCAAGACAGGCACCGGAAAATGGCCGCCTTATGGAGGATCTTCATTGGACGCTGAGGTATTTTGCCCATTGGAACGCATTGAACCGGTTTTCAATGCATTTCAATGGGCTTTTTCATTTCGCTTGACAAGGATTTCGTTCTACAGCGATTTTGCTGGAACAGATTATCCTTGTCAAGTGAGGTACCACTGTATCAATTTCAAAAGCAATTAAACATACATGACATACGTAATCTGTGCAGCAGCACAGCTTCTGCACATTTCCTTCCCCCACCCCCCTCACCAGCACCTTTGTTCACCAGCCAGCATACTTTGCTGCTTCTCTCCCCATTGTGTGATTTTCCAGACTTCCCTGCCTCCTCCAGCAGCTGGCCACTCAAAGGCAGCGCTGCAGGAATCCCTGCCCTTTCCTCATCTGAGTGGCCAGCTGTTGGAGGAGGCGGAGAAGACTGCACAACAGGAAGGGAAAGAGCAACATGCTCATGCTGGTGATGGGATGGCTGCTGTGCAGATGACTTACGATGAAAGGGCACGAAAGGCTTTATGCCCATATCTAATTCCAATTGAAACCATCAGGTATGAAAACAGTTTTAAAACATTTAAAACCTGTAAGTTAAAAAGCAGCATTCCTGAGATCACTTACTGCTTAAAGGCCTGCCTGGGGAGAAAGGTCTTTGCCTCATGATGGAAGGACAAGAGGAAGGGGGCGAACCTTGATTCTCAGAGCAGTACATTCCAAAGGCTGGGAGCAGCTACTGAGAAGATCTTCTCATATGCTGTCCAGGGAAGCTGGGGAAGGTGGTTGAACAGAGGGAAGGACTTCCCTAAAAGATCTTAAAAGACAAGGAGACTCATACTTCCACAGTCATGGGGTGAAGGAGCTTTTTGTTGTTTTTCAGAGTCAAATCTGTTATGAATCTCACAGAAAAATATGCCAGTTTTGCCTGTCTCTTGTAAATCTCACATGAAAACTATGATCTCATCCTAATCTGCCTTCTGGGACGAGACGTTTTGCCGTTGCAGAGGACAGAGAGAGGAAAAAACACTAGAGGTCTTATGAATATGCATCCTCAGCGGTTCTACTTAACTCTTTCTTTCTTAATAATCATTTTAATTCACAAAATATATAAATGAATCAACTTTTAGAAGACTCTGTGCTGTAAGGTCTGTAGATCTTCAGCTGTAAGATCGAATACACGCGACGGAGTGAGCGCCCGTCACTTGTCCAAGCTCCTGCCAAACTAGCGGTTCGAAAGCATGCAAATGCAAGTAGATAAATAGGGGCCACCTCGGTGGGAAGGTAACAGCGTTCCGTGTCTAAGTCACACTGGCCATGTGATCACGGAAGATTGTTTTCGGACAAACGCTGGCTCTGCGGCTTGGAAATGGGGCTGAGCACCGCCCCCTAGAGGCGAACACCCCCGGATAAAAATTGTCAAGGGGAACCTTTATTTTCACCTTATGTGGCTTTTAAGTTTGTGTCTTAAAGCAGAAGATGTGCCCCCTAGTGGGAGTTTGAGGAGGGAAAATCCCCCCCCCCAGAAAAAGTAACTTTTCCTTGTTTTCTTTGATATTGTTCCTAGTTCTTGCTTCACTGTCACCCACCCAACCTGAGGGCAGTTATTTCTTTGAAGAAAACTTATGTCTGTGAAAAAAAAATGAACATTCTGTATGTAATTCTGGTATTTGTTTTTCCCCTCTTTTGTTTACAGGGACCATATTTATACTGTTGATATGGATGCATCACATGCAGAAGAAATTTATTTTAGCAAAGTAAGTAGTATTTTGTCATTCTTGGGAGAAGATACCAAGGAACGAAAAAAGAGGGTGGGGAAAGGCAGGAGATAAATAAACACCCTGATTACAGCTGATCAGCATTACACAGTTATAGCAGCACTCAAGGATGATGGTGCATATTACTTGCATGGGGGAAACTGGCAGAGCAGCCGTGTCTGCTGTGAATGTCTGATAAGGGGCTTAGCTGAGATGAGAAACTAGTAATTTGTACTGAAATGTAGGGAAATGATGCATCTTACTACTGAATGAAGTATCTTACTGTTTGTATCCTACAGCCTTATGTGACTGCTGTATTGTAGTAATTGATAATAATGAGGGGTATTGAAATGGGAGACTCTGCTTAAATATTTGAATTAGTCCCATATAATGTCCGATCAAATAAATATAGATACACTAAGCAGAACATTATTTTAGTTTGTCTGATTACCCTATCAGTCCATAATATGTTCAAAAACAAAGATGAAAATGAGAATATTTCTTTTTATTCATTGCTTTGCATTGAATAGCCCTTAAGTGATGTGATGTTTCAAAGAGAGGTTTATAGCTACAAGAGAAGAAAGGTTAATTTCATAGAATTCTTCAGGCACCCCGGGAATAATCAACTACATTATACTGAAGCTAAAGTTATTTTTCAAGGGACAGACCTGAGAAGTAGTTGTGTTTTTTAATCTCTCCATGAAAATTACTGTATTCTAATTGCCAACAGTGCTTAACAAGCAAAAAAAAAAAAAAAAGATCTGCGTGTTTGGTGGAAGTATTATCCCCTGTCATAATAGAACTCTTGGTATATGGTTAGTATTATTAACAGGGTGTTATTTTACTTGTTGAAAGCCATCCAGCTATTCAAACATTAAGGCTGAAATTCAGTAGTAAGTCACAACTAGAGTAGGCCCATTAAATCACTGTGAATTAACTTCTCTGTAAGTTCCATTGATCCAATGGGGCTACTCTAGCTGTGACTTACTGCTGGATTTCAGCCTCTATGTGTAGTAATAATTATATGCCATCAAGTCATTTCTGACATATGGTGACCCTTTTCATTGTTTTTGAGAAATGGCTTCGATTCTGTTTTTCTGGGGATGCAATGGGATTGTGCAGCTTGCACAAGGCTACACAAGCTGGCTCTTCTCATGGAATGAATACTGGGAAATCTAACTCCCAGACTCTGACTCCATAGCCAAATAACTAGACCAGTGAGCTATAGACATGGTCCATTTATTTATATTTCCCTTTCTCTTAGTAGCTTAAAATGGATCTGGTTTGTGATCCAAAATCCAAGTTACAATCCAGGGTGGCTTATATTTTCAACCTTAAAAATTCTGTTTTTGCAGGTTAAACTTTCCGATTCTTAATGGGAATTTAGAAAGCTGCCATACACGGAGGCAACCCACTGGTCCATCTAGCTCAGCACTGTTTATAAAAACGGACAACATGTCTTATTCTTTTCTGACAGGGGTATTTCCTAGTCTTTTCAAAACGTGGTGAACAGAGCTACCTTTTGCATGTGAAACACATACTCTAATACAGGGCTCTTCAGTCTGTGAGCAAACTTTGATTAAGGCAGAAGATTTATTTGTTCCTCCATAAAAGGTTGCAACCATGGGCCAGACACACTTCGGGCTTAACAAATGGGGGAATTGCACCTAATTAAAAACATTATTTTGATTAAATAGTGGCCAAGAACAAGGTAATAAGAACATTCTTTACAAATGAGTAACTATTTCCAGTGTTTTAAAATTCTTGTTCGAATGAACAAAACTGAAAACAAGGGTCACATGAGCAGAAGTCCATTTCTGCAACAATTCTTTCCCCTTTTTTCCCTCTGAAGTACTCTGCAGTCCTTTGTACTTTCAAATATCAGCTCTGGCTATCTCCTCCTCCCTGTGGATCAAATTTTGGATGATACAGGTTAGGGCAGGAATTGTCCTTGTCCTGGATTAATTTACTGGAGTAGATGCATCAGTAGAAGAACATAAATGATTTGGTACATCCTGATGCAGATATAGAAATACCTGAATTGACACACAACCCATTCTGACAGAGAAAATTATTAATTATTTTAAAGGAGATCTGTTTGTCTTCACTTAATAAAGTGGCATATGTTTTGATTTTACCAGGTGCTAGTCAAGACTAAGCAAGCATTCTGCGCTCATGGTCTTCAACTATTATAATAGAGTAACCATAGCAAAAGTGCAGAAAGCTTTCAGTAAGTTTTTATTCAGCAGCTAGTTCTCTCTAAGGGACTTTTACTTTTGAAATCAAGCACAACAACCTCTGGGCTCTAATTGATTTCTTTCTTGATCCTTGCAGAAATTGACATGGAAATCAAGACAGCTCGATGTAGACACATGCAGAATGAAGGGAAAACATAAGGTAGGCAATTTTCATTTCTCCGACAGCTGCCACTTTTGTTTAGTTTCCTGACTGTTAACTCAGACCACTCTCTGTGATGTGGAATGGATCATGCCGTTTAGTTCTTAGCTAGTAATTGCTTTTTTCCATCAGCTTATTGAAAGATTTAATTTGCAAAAAAAAAAAAGTTTACTTCTAATGTGACAAAACATTATGACAGCAGACACAGCAACACCATGAAATACTTAGAAGTAGATGGGATTAAGGAATTTGCAAGGTATACTGACATCGTTCAATGCTGTTTTGGATAGCTAAACACAACTGTTTATTTCCTGTTGGGAGCCAACATAATATTTTGTTTATATATGTAGGATTCTCTTTCTAGGGTAGACTTCATCTGGGACAAATGTTGTAGGAAGTGATGCAAAATGACCCAAATCCAGTACATTGCTGGGAAATGTCCAATAGAGAAATGGTCTTTTTGTTCTCTTCTGACCTCACTAGTGCTTTTTGCCATCTGAAAACCTGCTCTGTGAGGTTTTCCAACCTCTGTAGGAGATTCTGATGATGGACGGGGGGGCTGTGAGGGGAATTGAACCCCCCTTATACTTCCACTGACAAAAGCAATTTCACCAGCAAAATGACAGTGTTGGACCTTCCATTATGATTGACTGTGGTATATATTGAATATATTTACTGATGTTTCCCATCTTCAGCCATAGCCTGTGGAAGATTCTTGAGAAAATAGAATTTCTAGGCTGCATTTTTCATCCAGAAATTTTTTTTGTAGAGCTGATAATTTGTTCAGTGTTTTTACCCCCTGTGTATGAAATAAAAGTATTGAGATCCTATACTCGAGTCAGGGACAAATGCTAAAATACATTTCATTAAAAAAACACAAAAATCAAAGACAATAAATATGAAGTCCTCAATTCATAAGAGTTAGTTTATTTTAGTGTTGGCTGAAAGAAATCCATTGTTGCCTTGCTCTGGAAGAAACACCAAAAGATATTGAAATAAGGTTTGCTATAATGGTTTATTTGTAGTCATGTTAAGGAAATCTGCTAATGTAAACAAGAACATTTGTCATGTATTTGCTGAAATATTTTTTCTCTTTTTTTGAAGGATGAATGTCATAACTTTATTAAGGTTCTTTTAAAAAGGAATGATGATACATTATTTATTTGTGGGACAAATGCCTTCAGTCCCTCCTGCAGGAGTTATAAGGTATGTATTGCATTTATAAGGAAGCATGTATGATCAGAGAAATGTTGTTCTGCAAAATCTTGTAATGTTTCAAAAATGACTTATATTAATAGAGCTGTAATAAATACATATACTGTATATATCAAATGCTTTTTCCTACACTACCTATTGAAGGATAATTAAAGGCATATGAAACCTTGTGCTAGACCAGACCTAAGATCTGTTTACACCAGCATTCTGCTACAATACTTGCCAGCCATATATCCTTTACTACAATAACACTTTCCTACTTCTGTTCTGTTGACAGCTGTTACAGAGAGAGAGACAGTGCCTCTGATAATGGGGGTCACATACAGGCATTGGGTCTATTATCTACCAAGTATTCTTCTCCTCCAAAAGTTTGTCTTTTAACATTCTCCTGGTTGGTGGCCCTTCCTTTGACTTTGCAGAAACAAATTCCATTACATAACATTGTATTCTATAAAGCAGGGGTCGCCAACCCCCAGTCTGCGACCTGGCACCAGTCCGTGGCCTACGCAGGAGCAGGCCGCAGACCCAGATCTCCTCCCCCCTGTGAGTGCCCCCCCATGAGTGAGTGCCCCACACATGCACATGAGTGTGCCACACCCCCTCATGCACAGACCCTGCCCCCCCAACCAGTCTGCAGTTGGGGACCACTGAAAGAACCATCCGTCTTGTAAATGTAATCGGTTTCTGCGTTCCAGTGTAACATTCCTTCTTCTGAAGCAGATATTTCACTCACAATGCTACTAAGGAATTTTCAGGTGTGCACAATCCCACAGCTCACAGAGACACTTTGTGTCTTTGAAATAAATGAGAAAGTATTTGCTCATGTGGAGCTCCCTACGTACGTCTGATCCATGCAGAGTTTTGGATGGAAGTGCTTGTGTTTAATTTTGATCTGTGACTAGAGTATGCCTGAAGCAATTTAGGTATTTTTCACACTCCTTTTGAATAAAAACTTACTGCTGTGTAAGCCTGATAAGATTTTGTAGTCATCTGGAACAATATCTTACAGCTTGATGCAAGCAAGTATTCCCCTGTTTGTGGCCAATTAAAACGTTCAGATTTGAAAGTAGATGCCTGATGCTGAAAATCTGCAACTAGTGCAGAAACATATGGATGTAGGAGGCTAGTTGTGTGGTGTTACGCTCAGCTCAGCAGTCACAAATATGGGCAGGATAGCAGGAAACTGTCTCACTGAAAACTGAAGTAGTTGGTGCTGATCAGCCAATGTTAGTCAAATACTCAAATTCCTTCAATATAAAGGAATTTTTAGCACTGAAGTTTATTTCCTTTCTTGCTTCTGCAACATGATGTCTGCTTTGAGCTCAAATATTTGCTCAATTTTTTTTAGTCTTAAGATGATACTACCTGTGGTGATTGTATAAATGCTTGTAGAAGTTTCTACAGAGCTTAGAATGAAGAAAACACTGAGTTTTCTAGTCCCTCTGGCCTGAGAAACCTCTGTTGTCAGGAGAGGGTTTAGTCATATATACTAATACCAAACTGAACTGGTGAGTAGCAACAGGATCATAGCCAAGGCAGGGCTGCTAGAAGGAGGACATACATGATCATTGGAACTGTAAGGTTTGATAAGGTAGAAAAAACTGTTTAGGAGAAAAGAAAGCGAGGGGCTACAACTTTTCAAGCTCAATGAGATCAGAGCATGCTTAGTGGTGATGGAAAACTGAATGTTGGACGGCAGGATGATAGAAAGCTGGGTGCCGGGTGAAAAAAAATGGAATGAATTACTTTGAAAGAAGGGAGGTCAGTGTTGTCTCCAGCTCCTGAAAAAAAAAGGTGATGGTAATACTGTGGCATAATTTTACAATTTTTTCCTACTATACATCTCTTCATCACTCCGAAGCTTCCCATGTTTCTGATTTGAAAATATCTTAATGGCGCTTTTTACCTTAGGAGGTATTTCTCTGGGTTTTCAGTGAAATATGAGGGAGGAGGGTAGGGCTGCTGGCTGCCACAGAAATAGCTGTGTCGTGGAAGAGAAGAAATTAGCACATATTCGTCAACTACCCCATAAGTAAGGAAAACATAAGAATCCCGAACTTCATTCATCAGAATTTATCCAAATATTCTTCTCCTTTCTAATTACTTGCAAAGATAATTTCTTTACTGATAGATTGAACGAACAGCCAGAATTCTCAAGGAAAACATTTTTAGCACAGCATTATGCTTTATATTACATGCTTCAGGCTCAGCTTATGTGCCTCACCTCTTGTTTCAAAATGTGCCACTTGAAAATGTGATAAGCTTTGAAAACATACAGTTAATATTCTTCATTATCAAGTGCCGTGTAAACAGAGCTTGTATAACCTGACATCACTCAAACTGTGCTCAAACTGTGAAGCAAATTTCTCAAGGCAGGTGTAGAAAATTACCTAGAGAAACTCAATCTTCTGCTTTGCAGCCGCGCAAAAATGCATCTGGATTGGGCCAAGAGCTAGAATGTCAGCCGTTATGCTCATTGCCAAGAGTGCTGAATGTTTTGACAGCCAGTTGAATATTGTGGCAACCATGTATATTGTGTCCCTCTCAATGCTGTATGTTCTAACACCCTCAGGTCACCCTGTTTTCCCATATAAGCCCACCCCTTGTCTTTTCTACAGGAAATGAACAAAATAGAATGTTGCCAGCTAAATCCTGTATCTTACTTATAGGACAACCAACAGTTAACTTTTCTTTACTGGGAAAGTGCAACAGCTTTATAGTTTGGAAAGTTCTTTTAGTGCTCATTCTCTATAATAAATGTGACAGAAAAATCTTGAGAAGACTTCCAGCTGGGAAACAGTGTTCTTTATGCCGATCTTTTATTCCTAATTCTTTTATTTCCTCTTCTTTTCTATATGTGGATTCATAATGTGAAGAATATAAATGGCCTTCTTTATTACTTCTGCAGATGTTTCATTCCCTGTGATAAATGGGCCCATGTTGGTTTCCTCACCTGCTGCCATTCTGTCAGGGAGGCTGCACAATGACATCTCAGGAGCTTTTAGAAGGTCAACAGAACACCTGGGCTAACTGGTGTTAAAGCATTTGATGTGCTGGCATGATGCTCCTGTCATCTCGGGAGACTCTGAAATGAAAGTGCAGATGAGCCCCAAATACTGTGCTCCATGCAAATCTCCATTCCTTCTATTGTCATTTTTAATGTGTTCCCATCCTGGGATAAACATAAGTGATTCCCTTCAGAAGGTCTGGAGAATAAGATACATGACAGGAAACAAATGATGACAAATCATCCGTTGCTTGAAAAAGGTCTCTTAGCATGTGGGGCTGAAAGTTGACTGGCTGAGACTGATGGTGCTTAGATGGCTTATTATCCATACTAGTATTTCAAATTCTGTTTCTTATACTTTCTCCTGTCAAAGTAAATGGAATTTCTTACGTGGATCTATGAAATCCCTCCCCAGAAAGTTACCACTGAGTAATCTTAACAAACATGACTCTAAGGCCTATATGGCCTGTGCTTTTTCCTAGGGCTTTCACTGTAAACCTCCCAAATGCCTGCTGTATGTTAAGCTGGTTATTTGTGTAATTACTGCTACCCTGTACAGAATTAATTTCCCAGCGGTTATACTTGTGGCTGAGATTTGCAGGTATTCCACAGGTTAATGCTTGACAGACAGAAGAAGGACTTATATATGACAGTTGCCTCAAACCAACAAAGCAAATGTCCTCCTGAAAGGGAACTTGCAAAAAAGAAAGCATGCTTATAGTTATCTACAGTGTCAGGGAAAGAGTCTCTTATTGGTGGGGAAATGTAGGTAGCGTTCAATATTATGCTTGAAAAATCCTTATTACATGGAAAAGGTGCCTATATACATAAACTGGAGATATATTGGAGATATGTCCCTGGACATGTGTACACCGTGGGGCAGAACCAGATCACTGTGACCACATGCACATTTGTTCTCAAACCCTGCAGGGTGAACACAGCTAGGCTTCTAAAGTTGAATATGGAGAGAGTCCATCATCTTACAGAACCCCTAACCACTTTTCCTGGGTTATAGTTTGACAGCAGCAACAAACCTATATAAAATACTACACCAAGACTAAATGGCTATTTTATAGTTTGATGCTGTAATCTTGCATGGTTCTTAACATTTTTTTTAAGGAGAACAAAAATAGTTCGGAAATGAACTTAATGAGAGGTCCTTTAGGAGCAGTCAATTCTATTTCTTTCTAAAGAAATCCTGCCATTTTGTTTTTCAGATGGATACACTGGAGTTCCTGGGAGAAGAGTTCAGCGGAATGGCCAGGTGTCCTTATGATGCAAAGCATGCCAATGTTGCATTGTTCGCAGGTAATTATTTCAAGAGGGAAAAAATTAAATACTGTATTCTTTTGCAGTGTTGTGCTTACTGGGCTATAGTTGTCGCCAAGCCTACAATTATGTGAACATGCAAAGCTGCCTTCTACCAAATCAAGCTTGCTGTGTTGTTTTTACTATAAGGCATTGGCTGTCTAGAGTTTCAGGCAAAGATTTTCCCCAGCCTTTTCTGGAAATGTTGGGAATTGAACCAATTTGGGGTCTTTTGCCTGCAAAGCATCAGCTCTGCCAATGAGCTACAGCTCTTCCCTGTAGAATGAGTTGGGAGGAAATTATTAGTTTATGATGCATCATTGATCCTGGGACTAATTACAGGTGGTAAAAAAAAATACAGACCTATCATTTTTAGTTGTAGATTTCAAGTATACTGATACAATACTGGGCCAGGGTGCCACAGAAAATGCTTTTGCATCTCACTTCAGTTTAAAGGAAACCCACAGAAAACAGACCTCCTGAGCTACCGTGGTAGCAGGCAACTGACTATGTGTGCTTCTGTGATTTTTGGGCTAAAATAAAAAGGAGAAAAAAAATACAAACCTGGTGTGATTAAACTACTTGATGTTGTGGTTGCCAGCTGTGGCAAGGGAGGGAACTGAAGTGGAGTCTGTGGGTTTAATCATGATTTATTATGCATGCAGTGAAATGCAATTAACTCTTAATTCTTTTTGCGGTAGTTTTAAAAATTGAGTGCATATTAGTGGGGTTAATTTGGGCCATTGATTATAGAATGGCATTTTGGAATTTTGCTCTTTATAGATTTTAGATTAAATTGTCTCATTACTGAAATTGTGTTAGCATGAACCCCAATGATCCCATTTTGAATGTAGCTGTAAAATATTCACTTGCATTTTGGAAACCAGCTGGGATGATCTTTTGGACTGTTCTTCAGCAGGTGCAAAGCTGTGGAACAGCCAATGCTATCTCACTCTTCCCCACGTAGGAATAATGTGCTTGGTTGTGAATTATATACTAATCCACAGAATAGCAAAGCTAGAAATGTGAACCTATCCAATATATAGTTCAGTCTCAGTTCTAAATATTTGAATTGCTTATTGGCTTATCGTGTTGGTGCTGTTGGTATAATAATAATCTTAGAACTACTGAGTTGGAAGGGACCTTATGGATCATTGAGTCCAGCACCTATCAAGGAGGCACAATGGAGGATCAAACTCCCAATCTCTGGCTCCACAGCCAGAATCCTAAACCACTGAGCTATCCAGCAATCTATACATATCCCATGTCTGTGGCATTGTTGCAGTTACCCGATAGGTCCCATTTTCCAGGCTACTTAAATTGTTTCTGAACCAGCACTTATGAAACAGCAAGTCTTATCCATTTACTCTGAAACATGCATATAATCCTGGTATAGCTCATTGGGCTGGAGTTTGTGACTGCAGAGCTTAGGGTCAGAAGCTAGTCCCCACCATGCCTCCTAAGAGAGGGGCCAGCTAAGATAACCGAGAGCATGTGTGGCTGATGAGGTTAAGAGCACACAAGTATACCCAGAATGAGTGAATGGTATATCCCTTCTGTGTACTTTATACCTAGAAATCAGAGGAGGATTCCCATGATTCAGAATCAACTTGACAGCACTCTGTTGTTAATGTCATTATTCTCTAAAACAAGTCCCACTAGATCCAACATGCTCTGTTCCCTGGTAAATGAGCCTATGATTCCAGCCTTTTTTGTTTTGTTTTAGCCTTTGCCCTCTATCCAAACAGATCTGTAATTTTTTTTTCTTCTTCTATGTTTAGGTCCCCTCCTTACAGAATTTAGGTATCAAATAATCATTCTCCTCTATAAAGAATTTATCAGTTTGCACTCTTATCTCAGAACACTCTCAAATATGCATTTGCATGCACACACACACACACACACACACAAAGAATAAATGTACATCAAAATCAAATAAGAATATGATTTTGAAAATATGAAAATATTTTGAAAATATGAAATATTTTGAAAATATGAAAAAAGAATAAATGTACATCAAAATCAAATAAGTAGGTTCTCTGTTCTTGTATTATTTTTTAAATCATATGGAAATTGCCTATTAAGTACCTAAACTATTAGGTCATTTAGCATGTTATTTTATTTAATAGTTTAGTGAATTAGGAATCTAGCTGCATTGTCAGAGGTTGGGAATTCAATTCTCAGGTACCTCTGAGTATTATCTACTATGGAAACCCTGCAAAAGGATTGTCATAAGTAAGAATTGACTTGACAGCACACAATTATTATTGTTTATTCAATGAAGTGTCTAAATAGTGTTGCTCAAATTTGAAACACTAAAATAATCCCACCAAAGCACTTAAAAGTATCCACCACCCAAAAGGCAATTATTATGAAATTGGGGAAAAATAATTCCCACACAAGTAGAAATGGGCATGACCTGCTTATTTATATCCCACATGGATAAGTTAAAGGGGGGGGGGAGGTAAATGTACTCTTAAGTAATTTATTGAAACCAATCCATTTAAAAACATTTATAATGAATTCTTTCCTTTAAATTGTTTTTACATTGAGCAGTAATTGGGGGGGGTGTCACTTCAGTTACCCACCGCTTAAAGGAACCTCCCATTTTGTTTGTGAGCCTTTTTGCAGTTGTGTGGATGGTACTGTGTCAGAGGACACCCTGAACTAGCCAGGAAATAAAAGGATCAATATGATTGGTCTGAATGTTAGAAATATATGTCACCCGTGCAAATTATGAAACTAAGAATGTACTTTTTTTGCTAACACTGATCCTGATGACCTTCATGGTATGTGGCTGTCAATCTCGAGAAGACCCACAGGTCCCCTCTTGTTTTCTTGTTCTCCCTCCCTCTCTTTTCTCTCTCTCATTCTTGGCAGAAGTGTTTCTCCTGAGAGGTGGTAGACTTTTGCCCATCTGATCCATAGAGTGTAGGATGTTGTCTTTCACTGACTTAGAGCATTTGTCCTTCTAGCTCAGAGTTTTCTATGCCCTCTGGGGTTTCTGACTGATGTCCTTCTATGCTGTGCTTGGGAAAGCAAGAAACTGGACCTTTATTCTTTGGCTTAGAAAGCATAGAGTCTACCGCTGAGCTATGGCCCTTTCTTCTACCTAGAGTTATTGTAGTTGGCTGTCATTTCAGAATTGGAAATATTAGTAGATCATTGTAAGGTAGCAGAACCTCCTTTATCTCCAGTAGCATCTCTCACTCTCTGATCAGGATAGAACTGCTGCTTTGAAACTGAGCAGAACTGCCAAGGAAGATAGATTAATATAAGGCAGCAAAAATAAACCCTTCCATGTATTTGAGGTTCACAACTGCCAACCATGGCAAGAGGAGGCCACTTAGACCTTGCTATCTACACTTGTGTCCTGGACATAAAGGGAAGGGTTTATTGGTTGTTGTGGATTTTTCGGGTTTCTTGGCCGTGTTCTGAAGGTGGTTCTTCCTAACATTTCGCCAGTCTCTGTGGACGGTATCTTCAGAGGACAGCAAACTGTGCTCTGTTTGCTGTCCTCTGAAGATGCCGGCCACAGTGACTGGTGAAACGTTAGGAAAAACCACCTTCAGAACACGGCCAAGAAGCCCAAAAAACCCACAACAACCAATAAACCCTTCCCTTTATGTCCAGGACACAAGTGTAGATAGCAAGGTCTAAGTGGCCTCCTCTTGCCATGGTTGGCAGTTGTGAACCTGAACAAACTGGTGAGCAAGTTCACTAGGAGAAAAACATATTTTGCTGTGGCATGGCAGGAGGTGATGGAGGGTTCTTCTCCCTGTTATCTTGAAAAATGAAGAGACAGCAATGGAGGAGTAGAGTGCTACAATTAGATAACTTCATAACTGCTGGTTGAATGGTCAGTTTCCTGGTGTTAGTAGTCTCTGCCTACACTGAGGGAACCATCTGCCCATTAAGTGTAGACTGGAAGCAAAATATAATGGTGGAAAAGTTCTTGCCTCCAATACGATATAGAAATGTGGGAGATTTCATGATACCAAGGCAAAACTTTGTTCTATCTGGCCCAACATGATAGCAGTTCTATGGAGCTTCGGACAGTGTTTTTTCCTAACCCTGTATAGAGATGCTTGGAAGTAAACTGAGGAACTTCTACACAGAAGAAGCATATGCTGTGCCACTGAGTTACAGCATCTCTCCAATCTACCATGCAGTATTCCCTGATTTTCTCCCATTCAGGTACTAAGCAAGGCCAAAACCTTGCTTAGCTTCCACAACTAAGTATGATCAGGCACGTATTCAGGATTAGATATGATTCCTATAGTTTAAGGAGAAATATAGTACAACTCACCAAAAATGAATTAAAAATGTGAATAGATGACCACCTTAGGATCCAGTGTTGGGAAAAAGGGAAGATAGAAATCAAATAAAGTGTTGTGCTTAATTACTCATTGAAAGGCTTCTATCCCTTGCATTTTTGGCAGCTTACTTGAATATGAATACATATGGAAAATGGATAGTATCCATTGTATGTGTAATATTTTCATTTTATTAAAATAAATTTACTGTCTACCAAACCATAAAGGACCAACGTGATGTAAGTGAATACAGTGTCAGTCTGAGACTCAGGAGATCTGCTCAGTCATGGAAACTCACTAGGGATGGCAGTAGTAAACCACTCCTTCAACAGCTCACGTGCCATAAAAACCCTGTTAGGGTGGCCATAAGTCAAAAGGGACTTGACAGCACATAAATTTCTCCTCATTCTGTTTTATATTTTGGTAGCAGCAGCAACATGTGTTAATGGTTTCTCCTTTCTAAAAGGAAAGAACAACATACATTTCTCTTCTTTCACATCTTCCTGTTTCCTTCCTCCTCAGGATAGGAGCCTGCTCTCTTACTCTTTATCTAGTATACAAGCACTGAGAGAAGAAAGGGGGGCTTTGAGAGTGAGGAAAACTGATGTATAGAAAGGGGAAAGAGGAGAAAGTTGACCCCCTGAGGGGGAGGAGACAAGAAGAAAGAAAAGTAGAGGAAAGGAAGTCATGTCACGTGTGTGTTGCGTTGTGTGTTTTTTAAAGACCCTCTCCACTAAGTATACTGCCATGTGTCCCAAGGCTAGACCCAAAACCATACCAGGATTCAACTGGAAGAATATCTGGCTCAGAGCCAAACCTTTAGATGCCATGCTCACCAGCCCCCATTACTGTAATCATTACTAGTAGAGACTAGCCTTTCCGCCCCTCAACATTCTGAAAAGATGGAAGGAAATTCCCATTCATACTTTCCTTGAGCGTATGAACTAAGCCGAAGTAATGCTTCTTCAGTTGAACGAGCGTATCAATAAATCTTTCCCTTCCTTTATAGCAAAATGTAGCACCAGACTGCTATTTCTGGATGTTGCTCTATTTGTAGTTAAGTCATGCTGTTTGTATAAAAGAAAAGCGGCACATGTTCAAAATGGAACATTGTTAATATATATCTGACTCAGGGAATCTAAGAAGAGGCCATTCCCTTAAGGATTAGCCTGTTATGCATCTCCACATTACTTGAAAGGGAGAATTATCCTATTGTGTGATATCTGTGATACTGACAGAACGTTCACTCCAAGAGTTGTCTTGTATTATTTGATGGCCTGTCTTGATAATAGCTATGGAAATATAATTGTTATTTCTCTCCCTCCTGCGATGTCTGTTCCCAAACTCAAAGAGGGAAAGCTGTATTCTGCCACTGTGACAGATTTCCTTGCGATAGATGCTGTGATTTACAGGAGCCTTGGAGACAGTCCAACTCTGCGGACGGTCAAACATGATTCAAAATGGTTGAAAGGTAAGTAAACAAAAGGGGAGAAAGGAAGAGCAGTGCTTTTGATTACCATTTGACTTCAGGCAGATGTTGCTGTACTCCTTAACTTACCTTTGCAGGACTGCTCTAGAATTCAGTCCTTTAGTTTTCATGATAGTTACAAAGCAAAGATGTTTCAAGCTGTACTTTGAGCTTTTGTTAAGAGAAGGGCACTTAATTGCACTTTTTACTAGTACAGTTTTGCTGATCCCCCCCTCCCAAAGTCAGGTTATTAACAGAAAACTGCAAGAACCACCAGAACATGATGTATTTTGTTTGTTTATTGTTCAAGCTTGAAAAGACTGAAGCCTGCAAGCATCATGCCTTTCTTCCTATATGACTATGTAACTTTAGGAAGTGTGGAAAATTCATTCTGCAAGATCCATCAATAAAAATAAAATAACAGAACCTCAATTTTATTGTCATGAAGTACTGAATGGGTGTTACTGAATTAGGCAATTTGTATGTTCTAAATAACCCCATTGTTAAGAATGTTGCCATTCATTCTTTTCTAAGGGCATTATGAATGGGTGCCACACAGCATTTTGTGATTGTGAAAGGAGGGGTTTTGCCTATAGTAAAAATTTAAAAGAGAAAATAGTTTGAAGATAACAGTGCGATATTCCCCTTTACATTTTTTACAGTCAAACAAGCATTTACTACTCTTGCATGTGACAATGTGCAATGTTGTTAATTCCCTTTGGAATTTTATTTGCTTCTGCAAATAAAAGGGATCCAAATTTGGTATTTGGAGTAAATTATGCAAATCAAATACTTGTATCTCTAATTTATTGCTCTGCATAATTTAGCCTGCCTTCAGGGCTCTTTTCCTCAAAGACAAAGGACAAAGCAGGGTAAAAGAATTTAAGAATGGCAATTTTGGGGAATGGCCAGCTGAGACAATGGATAGGGGAAAGCAGCCATGGGAACAGTGCCGACTACTGAATGCTTAGATAGCACCCACAACTAATGGTGCCATGATTTTAGAGTCTTTAGTTGTGTCTAGGTCTTTCCAATATGTTCAGATGCCTAACGACAGTAGAAAGGGGTACTCAGATGTTGGAGGAGCTGTTGAAAAAAAAACAATAAGATAGACAGTCAAGAATTTTGCTCCTGCTAGCTTGGAGGCTTGGGTCTGAGATATGAAAAGGTGGTTTTTCCAAACTGCTGGGAGGGGTACCTATTTATTTTCTTGGTTCTTCACATTTTAATTTTAGATCTATGTAATTATGTGTTTTTATTGATTCTCTGTAGTATGTATGAATAACTAACTAACTAACTAACTAACTAACTAACTAACTAACTAACTAACTAAATAAATAAATAAATAAATAAATAAATAAATAAATAAATAAATAAATAAATAAATAAATAAATAGGATCCACAGTCTCACAGGAGGCTAGGTTGACCCAATCTTCACTGTCCTTTCACCAGCAGACGAAGACCTTTCTCTTCAGGCAAGCTTTCTCAAAGTGACTAGCTGCCTGCCTGGGGGGTTTAAATGGATTGCTGCTTTGAATGTATTTTGGTGTTACTTATATTTTTTAATATTATATTCATTTGATCCTTTTTGGTATTTGTATACTTACTGCTGTTAACTTTAAATACTGTCTTTTAATGATGTAAGCTCCCTTGGGCCCATTTTAAGAAGAAAGGTGGGGTAAAAGATATTTCAAATAATTTTTTAAAATAAATTGTCTTTCAATTTCTTCTATAACCTATTTGCACTACAGATGCACTACATATACACTACCATAACCCTGCTGTCCAACAAACATTTTCATTATTGTTCCTGACATTTGTATATTATATATTGTATATTCTCAAAGCTGCCAGCTCACTTCAGAAAGCACATCTTCTTTATAAACAGAAAAGCTATAAGCAGCCACACTAGCCCATGCAGCCACACTGCCATTTATCTAGATAAATACTGTTGCAATGGTAACACCATTGTGTGTGATTGTATAATTAAGAAAGGCCTTCAAGTTGGTGAAAATTGGGAGGATTTCCCTATCACTTTCCACAGAAACAATTTCAGCTACTATTGTTATGTTCCCAGGGAACTGTTCAAAAATGGTACTTTTAATTTGCATCTAATGCATCCCGGTCTGAAGTTAACTAAACAAAATGTTTTATCTGTCATATTTTTATTTCTTACCACCATTGTCACCAGTAGGATCTGATTCTGAGAAGTTTGAACATGTCTACTTAAAGGAGAGGATGCTGTAGCTATAATTTTGATGTGATAAATCTTTCCTTTATGGTTGAAGACTTTCTGACGTACTTCACATCCTCCTGGAATTGCAATCAGTATTGTTTCAGTACCATGACCAACTAATATGCAAACAAAATCCCCTGATATGCAAACTCATATTCTTTGCAGTGCCACAGATCCAGTATCTTTGTTGGACACTGGGAGATGTAGTCCAAAAAAAAAGTATTTGTGCATAAATAACAGTGAAAAATCTATGCCACAGTGATGTGTCTTCTTCAGTTTTTCATATTTATATATGTATATTTATATTGTCCTTCTTGCAGAGCCTTACTTTGTTCATGCAGTTGATTATGGCAACTATATCTACTTCTTCTTCCGAGAAATAGCAGTGGAATACCACAGCATGGGAAAGGTAAGGGCTGAAAACCTCTTGTAGACCCAAACAGGTTAGGCGTGACCTTGAAATGAGAGCCATAAATCACAATGACAAGGTCATTGTTTTGATATTCTGGTGCTCTTGCTGAAGGTTGGTTGGAATGTGGCATTACGGTGCCTTGATATAAACCATTCTTATTTTCTGATGGCAACAAGATGAAAAAATAATAATAAGTCTGACTTCTCGGTAATAAACTGGAAAGCATATGGCAAACTGATTTAATGCAGAGCTCAAAATAATCATTGCAAGACTGACTTTAAAGCAAGGGAGCAGCTGTATTTGAAAGACCTTCGTAGGAAGAGATGTAAATGGGAAGAAATGTCAGAGTTGCCATTTCAAAAAGAAGAATGAAAGCTTTATTGAAAATATATTTTTAAAGTGTTTCCACAATAAATGTATTAAAATGCTTACAAGGTTAAAAAGGAGAAAAGCATGAACAAAAGCTTGGTGAAGCTTGCATTCTGAGAGTATGAGACGCAGAGGCTGGCAGTGTAGGCCACAAAGACTACAAATATAGAATGTGCTTTTGTTTGCGGAAATAGAAAGCTAAGTGGTCTGCATAGAAATGAGTTTTATATGAGCAGAGAACAGATCTCCTGATGGATTTGTGTCTTGTATATGAAATGTCACAGGCTTATCTTTTGTAGCACAGAGTTCCAAAGCTGAATTTTCTTCTGTTGGTTATTTGTCACAGATTAAAAAAAAAAATGAGATCAAATGAAGCACCTGGCATTGAATTTTCTGTCTTTTTCAAGGGGAAGAAAAAGGCAGAGCTCCAGTAAATACACATTTCCATCTCTTCTCTCCTCCTCACCTTCCCTTATTGTAGGTTGTTTTCCCCAGAGTAGCTCGGGTTTGCAAGAATGACATGGGTGGATCTCAGCGAGTGCTAGAAAAACAGTGGACTTCCTTCCTCAAGGCACGGCTGAACTGTTCAGTTCCTGGTGATTCGCACTTTTACTTTAATATACTGCAGGCAGTTACTGATGTTATCCATATCAATGGTCGGAATATTGTCCTAGCTACATTCTCCACTCCTTATAACAGGTAACCATTTTAATATCAGGTTGCTGCTGTTTTTGCTTCTGTGATTGTATAAAATATATAGAATTAAATGAGTAGTAAAACATGAGTTTTAGAATCATGAGCCATGATACACAATATCTCACCGCGCTACATCTTTTAAAGTAAAATAACATGTTTAATAAATGAGACTCTAAGGTTTCATTGTGCAAAGTTTCTTTTCCTTGTTTCCACTGGGAATGCTTGGCTCTCCCCACATCCAGCAGAATCCATTATTTTCACAGTTGTTTGCAACATGTTAAACCCCTGCCACTTGGCTTCTCACTATTCCTCTCTCCTACAAGCTCATCTGCTTAATTCAGCTAATATCTGCTATCTAATCAAATGTCCATAGAATCCAAAGAAAATATTGGTGGAGGCGCATTATTGTTGTTTGTTTGTTTAAAGTACTTTTGCACCACCCCTTCATTTTACTGTATTAGAAAAGATATATTTTTAGCTGCTCAGGGTTTTTTGCCTATTCATCAGTGAGAGTTTGTACTCTAAAGACAGCTATAATGACAAAAATCTTTCCTTGCTATGCAAATGACGCCTGCATAACCTTCATGCTTATGAGGTCTCCCTTTTCTTCCCTAATCCTCTTTTGAATGGCATAGGGAAAATTCAGTTTTAAAATAAACTCCAGCTTCCCAAGGAACTGTGTTTTGTTAAGCTATAATTAATAAGAATAGTCCAGAATCATAGGATAGCGTTTGATCCTTATTGCCTCTCACTAATGAATGGTTTTGCCAACTGCAGTTTCTCAAGGCGAGATGTCAGGGGAACTGTGGGTAGTTTAATAGTCAAAAATACAAAGTTACATTTGCACACAGAGAAAATGGGCACCCATGAAATGTGTTGTCTTTTTGATTCACTTTGATAGGTAGGTTGTATTTTTGACCAGTCATGGGGGATGCTAGTCTAGTCTAGTTCGTGCCTCATTTTTTTTGTTAGATGGTTTGTGTGTTTCTTGTTCCCTGCTCTTCCTTTCTTCTGTGACATCCATCTCTGTAAGAGAAAGAGAAAAAGAGAGAGAGATCCTTAATCTTATCTATCTTTAGCTCATTCTCTCCTTTCACTTCCTCCTACCTACCACTGGGCGGCAATGTCAGGATAGGAGGAAGAAGAGGACAACATGGTTGTCCAGCGAGGAAATCTCTAGCAGAAGCAAGCACCGTGCAGTGCTGTATTATGGAAGGGCACACAGAGGCCCAGTGATTGATCACCAGCAATGGGGTGTGGTGGGGTAGGGTGAAGTGGGTAGGGTGATGCCTTCCTACTCAAGGCATCAGGGGAAATCTGGAGATTCTTCTTCTACTGAAGTGTGCCAGGGAGTGAAAACTACCCCATGATAGACAGCTCTACCTTTCATTCCCAGTTTCATATCCAGATCAGTGTGGTTATGGCAAAGATACACAGATGATGAGCCACAGTTGCAATTTAACCTATCTCCCTCTTACTTATAGTGCACAAAAGAGGAGAAGGATGTGACAGGGAAGCCAAAGACCTATGTGGTTTCATATGTGTAATGAATGAATACTGTTTCCAATTGCAGCTGAACAAGGCTCATGAGGAGTACACATTTCATTGATCATCTTTTTGCCCTTCTATGGCTGTGTCCACCTGACTCATGTTCTCTAGAACCAGAATAAATCTTTTGCTTAGATATTCAGAGGAACCAAACAAAAAAATCTCAGTTGATGATATAGTCCCATTATTCCCATTCTCTCCCCGGTAGTTATTTATAGCAGTACTTTTCCTTTAAGATATAGTTTCATTACAATTAAGAAAGCCTAGTTTGGTTTAATGTTGTTCTGCAGTGACACACGACCCAAGATGATTGGTCACAGCCCCTGGCTGCTCCTTTCTGCACCTACGATGCATTGCCTAGGTGCATCTTTGCCTTTGCACAACACTACTCTCCCATCATTACCACTCATACCTTTTTGCATTGAGGCTCACCTGCACAAAGAATGTGTTGTTCTTAGAAAGACATAGTTGAATTTCACATAAGCTAATTTCAGGGGGAAAGGTGGCCATTTTACATGTGAGTTTGCACGGTGTTTAAGAATGGAAAAAACAGGCACCACCTGTACTATGACAAAATACATCTACTAATATTGTGAGTTGCACTAGGTATGGACAGGCATTCTTGGATGTTCTTGAGCAAGACAGCATAACTCTGCTGCAGCAGTTACAATTCTACAACCAGCTAGGATGCTAGTGACTCCAGATTTGCAGGGATGAAGAATTCATTCCAAATTATAGTCTGAATTTAACAGGAGGTTCCCAGGGTGATGAACTCTATTCCCAAAATAGATTCAGCATCTTGGATGATTCTTGTGATATTTAAGATTAAAAGTCAGAGTGGATTTATCACTCTGCAGTCACTGGCCACTTTGCATTCAGATGATTGTGTTGGAGCATTGGCAGGGCAGTGGAGAAGGTTTATAGTACAGAAGGAGCTCTTGTTTGTTCTAGAATACTAGCAAGAATCTCCCATTCATAGTAGCTTATTTGACAGTACATTGAAGGGACAAACCTGAAAATATGACTCATACCTCCCATTTTCTCTGTTCTTGAAATGTAAAAGGCAGAGCTTGTGAATCTTTGCTCTAATGTGTTCCGTCACCTCTATCTGGATTTGCATCTCACACCAACAGAAGGGTCCAAATCTGCTATTTGGAAGAATTATCTGACGATGCACAACTCACCTCCTCCTGTGGCTTTGTATAACAGCTGAAATTCTGTTGCTTAGATGTGCACATGGAAAGTAAAGGGTATACTTTTCATTCACTTCTAACTGACAAAGAATGGGTGGCCCTTGGGATTCTCAGAGGTGCATGTGCTCACTAGCTTGTTGCGTACCAAAGAATTCAAGTGGAGACTCATTAACCGAGCTAGAACAGACTGAATGTTAGCTGTTTGGCATCCACATGTACAATTCAGCAACAGAATTTCAGCCAGTGTGTAAAACAGCACTCAAAAATGCTAGACAAAATTTGTCAGAGACACCATTGGCCCCAGATCCATTTGATACGAATGTGGCATGTGGAACAGATCAGAACAAGTCTGGGCATTTCAGCAGGATGCATTCTTGACAGATTGTCTTCTGAATCACATGGGGAATGTGTGTAAAATACAAACAATTCTTCCTCATCATAGACTAGAACTTCTCTTCTGTGAATAGATGTGTCTTCCTCTTTTTTAGTACCGCACCCGGCACAGCAGATGGCTCGAGTATGGTGATGCCCTTTGCTTACAGCTGTAATACAAGTAATAAATAAAAGTAGCAGGGCCCATTATTTTAACGCCCATAGTTTTTAGGTCAACTAATAAAAGATCATTTACAGCATCACCTCATCTGTTAAGAATTTGTAAGCACTGGTATCTTGCCACCCACTTCCCAGTAATTTATGGAAACATGCTAAGGTCTTCAGTTTCTAAGGCCTCCAGGAAACTTTAGTAAATATGCTAATTAAAGTAAAATTGCTGCTGTGACAACCAAGGCCTGCTTTCTTTCCCATGCTTTCTGTTAGAAGGGACATTTAAGGGAAAGAGGAGTATTGCAGTTCATATACTCATGCTATAGATTGGCTCCCCAGAGTCAAAGGATAACTTCGGCTGGGTCAAAGACTGATTTTTCACTGCTTTGCCATAAACAAAACTGCAAAAAAGAAAAAGAGAAAAAGACATAATAGCTCTTATTGACAACCAAATTATAGCAGCTGCTTTGGGAATGATTAAGCCATGAATTAAAAATACAGTGAAACACAGGAAATAGACACACATTGTTGAAAATATGTATTTAGTAGAAAGGGGATATTGGGGAAAGGGAAGCAGTTTCAGTAAATTTCATTGCACTCATTATCATTGTTGGATAATTACCTAATTTCTGTAATTGCACTCATTATCATTGTTGGATAATTAGACCATGTACCTAATTTCTGCTTCAGTTTAGTTCTGTAATAGGGTCTTGTTATGTCATGCCCTCAGTATTATCCACACATCTAGAAGCTAAATTCTAATAGTTGGGTATATGATAACAATTTGCCACCCTAAAAGCAGGATTATAACTCTCAGCTGGATGGAGCTTGCTTTCTGACCAAATTCATGTAGCATAAGTCGGACACAAGCATTCTATAGTAAGCCATATGCAAACAAACAATAAGGTATGAATAATTCATACCAAAGAGCCATTGACTAAAAGAAACAAAATGTGTTTGTGTAAGACTGTAATTATATTTAGTGACTGCTACTATTAAGTTACGTGCAAATAATCAGGAAGTCCAAATTTAAATTTTCGTGGGAGTAAGGCAAACCTGCAGTTGCTTCTGCAAACACTTTACAGTTGACTGAGTCAAGCCAATTCCTGCTCATAGGAACTCAGCCAGAACCGACAGGAAAATCAAATGATGCTCAGAACTTCCATGGGTGGATAGTGGTATTTTGCTGAACTTTCAAGCTGAGTGATGTGCATCGGTATGCAAAATGTATCTGCTCCAATGTCTGAATGATTTCTAGGGTGCAAATAGAGACAACAATGCCCAGCAAGTTTCATATACAAGAGTATGTTAAATTTACTACAAGAATACCCAGAACATGGGCTGAGTGTTTGATAACGTAGCAAATTATTGATACTACTAAAAGTCTCTCACTCCCTCTCTCCTTTTCACCTCTTCTTTTTCTCTGAATCTTTTGAGTCTCCAGAATTACTGTAATCTGCTGTTGCTTTTGTCTTTTGGAGGAAAGCCGTAGTGACAGGAAGTGGCTGGCTACTGGAGCATCTCAAAATCCTGAAATGAGGGCAGCCCTTTGCTGTCAATACCCAGAAGTCAAAAGGTTCAGAATTCAGTGGCCTATGACAGGAAGCCTTCTATGCAGCGTGTTTCTCTGACAGAACAAAAAATGAATATAAAAATATGCATAACTTCAGAATGAGTAACTATTTCTGGAAATGTCACATTGCAGCATCCCTGGCTCAGCTGTCTGCGCTTATGATATTCTTGACATTGCCAATGTATTTACTGGGAGATTCAAAGAACAGAAGTCTCCAGATTCCATATGGACACCAGTTCCTGATGAACGAGTGCCCAAGCCCAGGTACTTTTCTCTGCTGAGTGTGCTGCAGGATAGGGCCTGGGAGATCAAGGGTCTTCATAACAATGGAAGATGAAGTGTACCATGTAAGTGCAAGAATTAAAAGACGAATACAGAAAGAAGAATAGCTTGAGCAAAATTAAACCGGTATTGCCTGAACTCTGCCAAGGTCATAGCCATCACCACCCCTGGCCCTATGTGAGCATATGTGCAGGGCTGTCACACACACCATACAAATGCTATTGTTGGGCACAATTGAAGAATTAAGCAAGTCTGAGCCATTATTTCTAGAAGGCAAAAGAGAATTAAGCCATTTCCTCCTGGGGAAAAAAGTCTGGTTCAGAACATATTTCTGTGCTGAGCCAGGGGAAAAGGTAATATAATGCTTGCCCCAGTGGGAATCTGTACTCAGTCTCCTTCATCCTTGTTTAATAGGGAGGAGAGCAGCAGTAAGTGTACTCCTCTGCTGATAGAAGTTAGGCCTCGCAAACCTTGTGTTCCATATAGAGCTACAAGAAACCACTCACCAGTAACAATGACTGGAGGACCATTCCTGGCATCTGTTCCGCCTGAGGCATGTTGCGGAATCAGTTCTGCCTGGGCATTGTTACCATAGGTATATTAAGTCCCTTGCTGTCTGTTCTCTTGTTGTGAGACTTTTCCTCACAGGAAATCTAGTTCCCAATTTTCATACCAAGGTAAAGAATGTAGGGTGTGAAAACAATAGTAGATGTAAGGTTAGAGGAAACACAGTGGGTTTGTTGTTTTAATTCAGCGGTCTCCAACCTTTTTCAGTCTGTGGACCGTTTGGGGTGTGTGTGCTCCATGCATGGACTGGTTGGGGGGTGGGGCACCCCCTCGCTTACTGGTGGGCGTGTCAAGCCAGAAGGGGGAGAGAGATGGAGCTACTTTGCAACTCTTGCCTCCCGGAGGCAGCGCTTCCTCTGCGTGCCCACTCAGCTTGTCTTCAAAGTTGCTCCATCTCTCTCCCCATTCTGTCTTCGGCTATTGCCGTCCCTCCCGCTGCCCCCCCTGCAGATAGCTCCAAGTCCCAGCTTCTTGAAGATGAAGGAGGACACAGGCAGGTAAGGGTGGGGGAAGGAGAGTGGCTGCTTGTTAGCTGTCTAGAGGGTGGGGAGCAAGCAAGCAAAGAAGCAAAGCCGTGCATCGGGGCGCTTCCCAGGCTGGCTGCCCCACGGTGGCTTCCCCACAGGGAAGGGGCACTGCTCTCCTGCAAGGGGCGCTGGTAAAAGGGTTAGCATGAAGGCCACATGCTCACCAGCAAGCACAACACGCCCTCCCATGAGGGGGGGCACGGAGATCTGTGTCCGTGGCCCAGTTCCAGCTAACCCACGGACCGGCACCGGGCCGCAGACCGGGGGTTGATGACCCCTGTTTTAATTAATACCTGAGGGTTGTTGTTTTTTTATGCTTCTACCTCCCTTCTTTTTTGTTACTTAAGGTATTTGCATTTCATTTCATTTCATTTTATCCTCCACTATCCTAATTACTCTGCATATTTCCCGTCCATATGCCCTTCCTATGTTTGGAGATAGAGCCTTTTTTTAAAAAAAGAAGTCTTCAGATAACACTACAATAACACAATTGCAACTATGCACCCCCAGAAGCTCATAATTTCCTCACAGCAATCTTGTCATTGTCAGTTTGCATATGTCAAACACTATACTGTGTAAATTTTAGAATCTAAAGGAGCATGACTTCTTTAGAGAGGAAGGAATTTTAGAGAAGAGATCCTGTGAGGAAGGGCAGAGTCAGCAGCAGAAAGAAGATTTTTCTGCTGCCAGTATCTGACTGTTACAGCCCAGCCTCCATTAAAGTACTGGGAGGATTCCAGAAATAAACTGCACACATTTGTATTCCAGTTATCTGAGACAGATAACACTGTATTCTATTAAAGAACTATGCAGATTCAGGCTTAATAGGCTTGGGTTTTCATACTTGTCAAAAATAAAATGTTCTTGGGAGTCATAGCAATGAGGATGTTTACTCTGATGCTGGCAGGATTCACTCTCCAAGCTGTGTTTTTGAGCAGCTTTATTTCAGAATTGCAGAGAAATGTAACATTTCCCTTCAACATTAAGTATAATTGCTCTTAATTCTAAGAATGTGAGACATGGGGAAGTGAGTCAGAAGCATGCCTACAGAGTGAGCAAGCCACTGCCAAATTCTGTATGTGTTTATTGGGTCCCATGTCAATAGATGAACTGCAAACTTGCATTTTACAAATTTCACAATCTGCTTAGGAAATTTATATTTACCAATGGCCATAAATCAGATATTCCCACGATAAAGTATAACTAAGTGCTGAATGTTAAACGCTTTCAGTGTAATGACTAGCTCCAGGGGGAATTTAAGAACTCTTGGACTGTTATACATTGCTCAGGTTTTTTTTTCTGGCATTTTCACCTAATAACTGATGCTTATAGAAACTATGTAGAATATTTACACAGTGAATTTAAGAACTCTTGGACTGTTATACATTGCTCAGGTTTTTTTTTTTCTGGCATTTTCACCTAATAACTGATGCTTATAGAAACTATGTTTGTAGAATATTTACACAGCAGGAGTAAATAAATGTGTTTCTTCCTGTTCTGTTTCTTAATTTAGGCCTGGTTCTTGTGCTGGTGCTGCATCACTTGAAAAGTACACCTCTTCCAATGAATTTCCAGACGATACACTAAACTTTATCAAAACACATTCTCTCATGGATGAAGCAGTACCATCAATTGTCAACAAACCATGGTTTCTGCGAACAATGGTCAGGTAAAGAAGCTTTCCTTCAGATTCCGTTCATGTGTTCTTTTCCCCCTGCATGAGTCCTGAATTTAAAGTTTCCTGTGTTGCTGGATACTCTCTGCCCTGATTCTTGTAAATTAAGCTCTGAGCTGGCCTAAAATCTGATTAAAGAAAAAAAAAGCAAAAGGAAGGAATAAGGGGAGGATTAGTGCTGTTATTTTACAGTGTAGGGAGCAGTCTGCTACTATCCTGTTTAAAATAATCATATAAATAAATAAGACTATCAAAGAAATGCCAGCATCTTTAGATCAAATTATTCAGAGTCCCAAAGTCTCAAGCAGATTTGGAGTTGCTCTCATAAGATCTGTCTAAATATGGAAGGCATATTTTGGAAAAGAAGGCTAAAGCACAAAATGTTTTTCGTCAGGGCTGTAAAATGAAGCTAGGTGCGGCAGTTTTCTCAGAAGGTGGCAAATCTTCTGATCCTGTCTGCCTACATGCCAGGGTCTACTTATTGTTTCCTCTTCTTATCATGGATATAGCAGAGAAGTGTGGTCCCCTCACCCCTCTAAGGTGGCACAGTAGGATAGATTGCTGCCTGATTCACTGATTTCATGGTGGCATATTTGCTACTGTTTATATAATGGGAGGGCACTTTGCTTCCTGCCCCAGGCAGCAGGAGACTTTGGGGCACCCCTGCTTATTGTAGCCATTAACTGTTCAGCCCAGTGTATGTCTACTTAGGGATATGTTCCACTGAGTTCAATGGAGTGTACTTCCAGTTCAGTATGTACAGAGTTGCAATCTAGCAGAGTCATTATATTCTTAGGACAGTAACAGTTATCATAAGGATAAGTTTACCACAGTATTATGAGAAGACCTTTAAGGGCTGGACATGAGTTCCTCCCACCAGCTTGTGCTCATCCCATATCTCAGAGGAAATACCAACATGGGATCGGGTGAACCCTTTTCTATCTTTTCATAGCTGAACTATAAGCCTTCATCCAGGGCTCATCCCCGGCCAGCCCTTGCCAAAAAAAGTAAGGCATATGGCTCTAAGAGAGAGGACCTTTCTAGTTTTGGTATACTCTTTCTGGAATGCCCAGAGCGTCACATCTATGTTATGCTGTTTTGGGGGCCAAAGGAAGATCTGTCGTTTTCCTAAGTATTCAAGGAATTGGTTTAGTGCTTTTATAGCACCGCTTTATCGTGATTTCTGGTTTAGCTTTATTTTTTTGTATTTACTCCTTATGACTGTATCATGGTTTTTAGATAACCTCTTTATTGTTTTATTGCTATTTTGTATTTCATGTCTTTCAAGCTGTATTTCAATAGTATTTCAAACTGCTCATGGGTTGCTGAGCAGTTTCTAAATGTAAAATAATAAATACATTTGCATACTTTTCCTTTGGGGTCAAGATTTTAACTACTTCAGTAGACATTCTGGGCAGATTAAACAGGTAGCTGAGGGGCACATCAACCGGAAATGAAATATGTGTGCCAGGATGTTTTCAGGATATGCTGCTGATGTCTGTCACGATATGTTAAGGACAGCTCCAGTGTTTACACAAGTGTTTAAAGAAAATGAGTCACCTTTAAACTATCCTGTTTCAGCAGAAAAAGAAGTAAATAGAGTATTTCCCCCTCAACTATATAAAAGTCAGCAGCACTCACTTTCAGAATCTGGTTGTAAAGTTTATCAGATTATTTGTGAGCCTTATGCTGGTGATAGATTTCAACATTCTGTTTCTCATACACCAAGCCGCCTAGAGTGGTTGTTCAACTAGGTGAGGTATAAATAAATAAATAAACAAACAAACAAACTTATATATACAGTATATAAGAAAATAATGTTTATTTTTGTCTTAATACTTCTTAATCAGGAAGTTGACTTCCTGATCACCATTTGAAGAGACATTTATGAAAGTACAGTTTTAAAATATGTTAACAGTCATTTGCATATTGCAACACACACACAATTTCATATATAAGAGTGTGTTGCATATGTAGAAAAATTATATGCAGAAAACTCTTTAAGTCAGCAGGGAAATGGAAATTTAAAAGCTTTAGCTTTTCAGCCCTTCTGGTTTAGCTGTCTTCATCTTTGTACTTCCAAATTTCTTATATAAATGCAACCTACAAATTAACCTTGAGATTGTCTTGTTTAGGCATAACCAAGGCCTGATTTTGTATTGTGTGGAAATAGCTTATGCAAGTGGAATATTGTCTTTATGTATGAGTAAAATAAACTATTTATAATGTTACTCAAAGCTTATTTATAAACTCGAGAGAATGATAAAATAAAAGATAGGCTAATGTACTGATTAAAACTTTAATGTTGTCATTTCAGATACCGCCTGACCAAAATTGCTGTAGACAATGCTGCTGGACCGAATCAGAATCAAACTGTGGTTTTCCTTGGCTCAGAGAAGGGAATCATTTTGAAGTTCCTGATTAAAACAGGAAGCAATGGTTTTCTCAATGACAGTCTTTTTCTGGAGGAGATCAGCATTTATAATTCTGAAAAGTGTGTATCATTGTTTTTCTCTCCGTATTTTTAAGAAAATTAGTTCTGAATTCTCGCACTTTGTGCTGGTCCCATGACAAGGAAAAACCCTCAAGTAAATAAGGTTTTTTAAAAAATAATTAGATATTAAATATTTATGTTTCTTGTTTTTATAGCTTTTTACTTCATCATGAGAATATCAGTATGGTGAACATGTAACCAAAAGTACTTACATCTCTGTGCATTGCACACACTGAGTGCAAATAACGGAACACAATCCTTGCTCAAAGAGCCTCCTTACATTTCCCAAATTAAATTCTGTTGGATTTTGTTGGCCGAACTGCATCTCCAGTTGCAACAACGTGTTGCTGGAGACCTGAAGAACTCAACGACCCCCTTCCCCATGAACTAAATCTGGGATGCTGGAAAATAAATGTGATCTGTGAAATATTTAAAGCCGGGCCACTGATGGATTATTCTTTGGTTACAGTGGAAATGTGGCTTACACTTATAAAATGCCTCTCAAAATGAGGACTGGTTGATGCAACAGCCAAAACAAAAACCCGTCCACTCCCAACCCTTACTCATACTAAAGGGAGTCATCAGTGTGATCACCATGTATGGAAGACCAACAACTAAAGCCAGAGCATTGCTCAAATCATAAAGGTGATCAGTGTGACTGGGATGATGGATTGATTTGGGAAGAGTTTCTTGATCCATCCATATTCTGCCCTCCATTCTGCCAATTTTTGCTTGTGTCCCCAGATGATCCACCTTTCTGCAGCCTCCAGTGTGCTAGATGTGATGGAGTGCACACCTTGAGTTGTGAATGGATTTTCTCCCTCACACATACTCCAATACTCTTCTTCCATTAGATGTGCAAGAGCTTTGGAGGCAGCATCTCTGCTTGCAAAGTATCGCCATGTCTCTGTGCTGTCTTTTAGGCATGCTCCAGCAAACGAGGATATTGGCTTTTATGATAAGGCCATTTATGTGTTCTGAACAGATGAGTTACATGCCTGTTTCCATTTAGTTTATTCTGACCTAGAAATATTTATGTTAGAATTAATTCCTTACAAATTATGGATTTCTTTCTTTCTTTCTTTCTTTCTTTCTTTCTTTCTTTCTTTCTTTCTTTCTTTCTTTCTTTCTTTCTTTCTTTCTTTCTCTCTCTCTCTCTCTCCTCCTCTGCCATCTGATCAGGTGCAGCTATGATGGAGTAGAAGACAAGAGAATTATGGGGATGCAACTGGACAAACAAAGCAGTGCCCTTTATGTAGCATTTTCAAACTGTTTAATTAGAGTTCCCCTGGGAAGATGTGAACGTCACGGCAGGTGCAAAAAGTAGGCATTTCTTAACATTCCTTTCTCTTGTTGCTAATCCCATTCTCAGATACACCAAGTTTTCACACATGAATCCTGAAAGCAGAGAATTTAAGAATGATTTGTATGTGTTTGTTCTATTAAGGGCCTGCATAGCTTCTAGGGACCCCTACTGTGGATGGATGAAGGAAACAGGGGCGTGCATGCAGCTATCACCCGGAGCCACGTAAGTCATAATTAGTACTGTGTCTGAGTTTTAGTAAAAGTATGGTCAGATAGGCTTCTGGGTAGAGTTTAGAGTTTTAGTGAAAACTAACAGGTAATAATGATCTTCCTGAGAAAGAATGGTAATAAATGTATTAGTGAAGGCTTTCACAGCCGGGATCTAATGGTTGTTGTGGGTTTTTTGGGCTCTTTGGCCGTGTTCTGAAGGTTGTTCTTCCTAATGTTTCACCAGTCTCTGTGGCTGGCAGAGTGCTGTCCTCTGAAGATGCCAGCCACAGAGGCTGGCGAAACGTTAGGAAGAATAACCTTCAGAACACGGCCAAGAGCCCAAAAAACCCACAACAACCAATGGTAATAAATGCTTGCTTGCTTACTTTCTGTTGACTCTGTTTCCACAGTACAATTTAATGTAGTTTAATCTTTTTGATTAAGGCTGGGACTGTCTATACATGGAACATTGGATCTTCTCCCCCCCCCAAAAAAATTGCATATTTATGTTTTTCATCTGTTATCATGTCATTGTGTAGGTTGATGTGCTTTCCCCAAATCATTGGTAGCACAAAAATGAGCACAATATGAGCACAAAAATTCATTGTGTCACTTAATGACATGGGGTAAGTGAGCCAAATCTGAATTCCAGTAAGTCATGGAATCAATATGATTCTGATGAGGATGGCATACTTTTGGCAGTTATTCGTCCTGGGATTTATATAGGTTTTTCCAGAATGGGCTCAGATAGTTCTGCCCATCTGATATCTACAAGTTTATTTAAATAATAATAATTGTGTGCCGTCAAGTCAATTCTGACTTTTGGCAACCCTCTAGGTGGAGAGTACTCAGAAGAGTTTTACTATTTCCTTCTTCTGGGGGCATCCTGGGATTCTGTAGTTTGCCCAAGGCCATACGATTTGGCTGTTCTGGAATGCAAATTTGAGAGAAAAGCAAGTACAACACAACAGAGCAAACAGGTTTCTGCTAAGCCTGTCAGCCCTGCTGGCAATTGTGAGTGGATGGAAATGAGTTTCCAGATTTTAATGGCATGTCAAATACAAACATCAAACTCCCTCCAGTAACTCTTGCATTGAGATTTAATTTCCCAGCTAGAAACCTAGAAAAGCATAGGAATTATCTGAAACTTCAGCTAATGTGCTGAGAGCTGGCAGTCCTGATAAATAGTCTTAAATGCCAACATAACTGTAACATTCCTCTTGCTTTGTAACTCTAGTAAGCATTTCCTTGAGTTAGTGTGTTTGGATCCATATGAATGAAAGTCAAGTCAGTCCAGCTATCTGCTGGTGTTAAGAGGGTAAAGATCACTGTTTTCATGCTAATATACTTAGAAAATGTTTATTAATATTTATTTATGTTCAGAAACTTCAGTGGCTCCAAGATGCTGCAACCAGATTGTTAACTTAGGCTTATTATAGGGATCACATAACCCCCCCTGTTCCAGTAGCTCCACTGGTTGCCAATTTGTTTCTGAGCACATTGTAAAGTGCTGGTTTTAACCTTGAGTGCCAGCTATCTCAAAGACTGTGTGTCCCTTTATCAGCCTGCCTGGGTATCAGGATCATCAAGGGAGGCTTTTCTCTCAGTCCCACCACATTCACAGGTGTGATTGGTGGGGACACGGAAGAGGGCCTCCTCTGTTGCAGCTCCCAGACTCTGTAACTCCCTTCCGCTGGAGGCCAGTCTGACCCCATCTTTATTATCCTTCTACAAGCAGACAAATCCCTTTCTCTTCAGGCCGGCTTTCCCTTAATGACTGGCAGTCTGAGATGCTCCCAGAGCCACCTGGTGGGGCCACTGTGAGATACAGGAAGCTGGACTCGATGGGCCCTTGGCCTGATCCAGCAGGACTCTTCTTGTGTTCTTATGGTTCTTAAATGGATTATTGTGCCTTGTGGCTTTAAATTTGCTTTTGGTATTGATTATATTTGCCATTTTTAATATACTATTTATTTGGTTCTTTTAAAATATGTATATACTTTTTTAGCTTTAAATATTGTCTTTTAATTATGAAAGCTGCCTTGGCACCTTTTTCAAGAGAAAGACATAGTAAAAATATTTCAAATAAATAATTAATAATAATAAATCATGGCATACACCCAGTGCAAATCCAAGCACACAAATGCATTGTTTAGTCATGGCTTCATGGATGCAACTTTGTGAACATGTCCGCAGCTCTAGGTTGCTTTTATTATAAGAGCCATACTGAGTATCGTTTAAAAATAACATTTGAAGTATATTTGAGTAGCTCTTTGGTTTGGGTGGTTTTACTAGACAGTTTTGTTTCTTTGCTTTTAATCTATTTTAAAGCTGTGAGTTGGGTCTAGCATAAGCCATCTGTGAGTGGAGAATTCCTCTTCTCACCAGGAGGCTATTGATCAAGTGGAGCACTAATCATGGCTGAATTGGCCGAGTGGGGTGATCTTTCCCAATTTCCTACTCCTTGAAATGGCCAATGTCGTCAGGAAAAGTGTTTGAGGATCCTCCGGGAAAGTGGAAAAGATAGTGTTAGGGGCTGCAAATGAAAGGAGAAATCTGAATAGCACTTTAACAAACGCACACACACGTTTTCCACCAGAGGGGCCATTCTGCACAGAACTGCAGTTTTGAGGCATCCCTTCTGGCAGAATAAAACTGGATCCAACCTGCATTTTAAAACAAAAACGCAAATGGTCGTATTGTTCATAGAATCATAGAAAAGTGAAGTTGGAAGGGGCCTGCAAGGCCATCAAGTCCACCCCCCTGTTCATCCAGAGAAGCAACTGGTAGGTAAAGTAACATGAAACCTCTTTTGCTTGCATTTTGCCAGAACAGGAAGAATACTTTTGCTTTGTTTTGTCTGTTTCTTCCTTTACCTTCTACTTTTTAACTCATATGTGAGGGCAGGAATTTACACCATTATGTTTGCTTCTGTTGTTTAGACTGGCATTCGAGCAGGATGTAGAGCATGGCAATACCGAAGGCCTGGGTGACTGCCAAAGTAAGCAAAAGTTGTTTTACTCTTCTGTTTTAGTTTTCATTGGAGAATCTCTGTTTGTACTTGACTCAAACTCAGCTCAGGTAGAGACAAAACATGTAGAGAGATAAAGTAATAACAGTACTGAAAGCAACATTCAGAATAAAAGACCTTAAACAGAATAAAGTGAGAGAAGAATTCAAGGAAATTGATTCTACTTACACATCACTTGTCTCTTTGACAAATGTGTTGAAACTGAGATCCAGTTTTAAATGAAATTAAATTAGACAAGCTCCCGTTGCTTGTCCCAGCTCCTGCCAACCTAGCAATTCGAAAGCATGTAAATGTGAGTAGATAAATAGGTACCACCACGGTGAGAAGGTAATGGCATTCCGTGTCTAGTCATGCTGGCCACGTCTACGGACTGTCTACGGACAAAACGCTGGCTGTATGGCTTGAAAACGGGGATGAGCACTGCGTCCGAGTGTTGGACACAACTGAACTAAATGTCAAGGGGAACCTTTACCTTTACCTCAGCTGGTTTGTTCTTCTTAACTCAGAACCAAGTTAATAATGGTGATTTCAAACTCTGAGTTAGGGATCAGAACTGTTCTGAAACTGAGGGGGGTAAATTTCATATTCTTCTTACACAGAATATTTGTGCGGCGATTGGGGATTTAAAAAAAAACTTTTTGTTTTTTGTGGGGTTTTTTGTTTTGTTGTTGATGTTTTATTTTTTTATTTTATGTATGTGGAGACCTAAGGCATTTTGGTAGTGAAAACATTAATGACTGGCACACAGGTGCTGATGCTTCGAAGAGATAGCTCTTTGAAATCCCAAACAGCTGCTGCATCAGCTCCATTTTGTAGTCTTAAAGTAAGCATTTTTTCTATAAGCAGCAGATCTGGCTCTGCCTCAAGAGACATAACGGGTCTCTCCAGGAGGGCAAGGTTCCTCTTGCCCTCAAGGAGACACTCATTAGGCCTATTAGGAAGAAACCTAATTTGGCAGCGGATGATATTGGCAATTATAGGCCCATCGCCAATGTTTCCTTCCTCACTAAGTGGTGGACTGGGTGGTGGCTGATCAGCTTCAGGCTCTTTTGGATGAAACCAGTGCCCTGGATCCATTCCAGTTGGGCTTCAGGCCGCACTATAGCACAGAAACGGCATTGGTTGCCCTGTATGATGACCTATTGAGGGAGGCTGATGGGGGGAAAATGTCCTTCTTAGTTCTCCTCGACATCTCAGCCGCCTTTGATACTGTTCACCACAGTATCCTCCTGGGGCGGCTCTCCAAGCTGGGAATCAGTGGTCTGGCTCTTGCCCGGCTCTGATCCTTCTTGGAGGACCATCCTCAGAGAGTACAGCTTGGGGGGGGGTGTTTTGGCCCCATGGAGTCTCAATTGTGGGGTTCCGCAGGACTCAATCATCTCCCCAATGCTGTTTAACATCTATATGAGGCCGCTGGATGGGGTCATCAGGGGGTATGGGGGTTTATGCCGTCAATACGCTGACAACACACAGCTCTACATCTCCTTTTCACCTACTTCAGTGGATGCCGTTCTGTCTCTTCAGCACTGTCTGGGGGCTGTACTGCAATGGATGCAGGAGAATGGGTTGAGGCTGAACCTGGACAAGACGGAGCTCTTGAGGGTGGGTGGCCCCTCCATTAGTGGCTTGGGAAACTCCCTCTCTTTTTGGGGGGTGAGTTGCTGTGAAGAGTGAGGTTCACAGCTTGGGGGGTACATCTGGACCCGGCACTCACCATGGAAACCCAGGTGGCGTCAGTGGTCCGCTCCGCCTATTACCATCTATAGCAGATTGCCCAACTGCGTCCCTATCTTGATGGTGGAGCCCTCACCACTCTGGTCCATGCGCTCGTAATCTCAAGATTAGACCACTGCAATGTGCTCTACGTGGGGCTACCTTTGAGATTGATGCGGAAGCTTCAAATGGTGCAGAATGCGGCAGCCAGAGTACTTAGTAGAGTGAGGAAATACCAGTACATCTCTCCCATTCTGGCTGCATTGCATTGGCTGTCCATTTGTTTCCTCGTTGACTTCAGAGTGTTTATGATGACTTACAAAGCCCTAAACGGTTTAGGACCTTGATACCTGGCAGAATGCCTTCTCCCACCTAGATCTACTCGAGTCACTCTCCAAAGCCAGGAAAGATGGTTGAGGGGCCTAACGCCGAGAGAGGTCCGAAAAGAAAGAACAAGAAATCAGGACTTCTCGGCAGTGGCCCCTCGACTTTGGAACAGTTTGCCATCAGAGATTCGCCTGGCACCCTCGCTGGGTGTTTTTAAGAGGAATAGGTACAGTGAGTAAGACAGCTGCTGTCCCACGTTTTATTTTTTTGGGTGGGAGATAAATAAAACATGGCATCCCTATTTTTATTTTTTATCATTTTGGGCTGTGGCCATCTCTCCAACCATGAATCCTCTGGAAAACTACAAGATTTTGTGGACAGCACAGAAAAAATAATTGTACTGTATATTGAAGTATCAAAAATCCATGGCAGATTATTGTGCCAGGTCTGCTTCTTAAGGTAAATTAAAACACAAGCTGCAAATGCAATGAGAATGTGTGGTTTCAGACTCCACTGCCAGTAGCAGTTGGCTGAGATTTCTCCTCCCAGCTCTCTAGACAAAGAACTGCCAAATAATCTGCATTTATCCTCACCACCACCTATTGCGTTCTTTTGAAACTCAAGGTTCCTGTTGGGCTGGGGCAAAAGTAATACTTAAAAGTGGCAAGTCTCCTTCAGGGAATGGGCATAAAAATTTAGTCTACCCACTAGGAGAAGTCAATTGAACCCAAATTAAAGCCAAATTAATAGTGTTAGCTAGTGGATCTAAGCAGATGTTTTCTTCAGTTTGCAGTCCTGCTTGGCAGATGTTAAGAGTTCATGTTGTTTCTTGATAGTGCTCTAGACCACTGGTTCTTAACCTTTGTTACTCAGATGTTTTTGGACTGCAACTCCCAGAAGCCTTCACCATCAGCTCTGCTGGCTGGGGTTTCTGGGAGTTGCAGTTCAAAAACACCTGAGTAACAAAGGTTAAGAACCACTGCTCTAGACAACCATTTAGGGTATCTTCCATATTTCAGAAAAAAATTAGAAGGGATAAAGGACTAAAGACAATACACAATTATTACACAATACAGATGTAAGAACAGGTTACATCACTAAAAATTGAGTCTCAAGGCAGTAGGTGGAGGTAAACACAGGTTATTTGGTGTTCCTTTGAAGAGTCAGGAGGAGAAATTCTACTGGGGTGGAGTTTGAAACCACACCCCCAGTGGCAAGTGCAACTTGTGTTTGAACTCAGCTTAGGAAGCAGACCTGGAAAAATAATCTGCCATTAATTTTTGGGAATCTCAAATATATTTTTCTGCACTATCCACAAAATCTTGGTACACAGCCTGAGAAAGATGGATTAAGGTCAAAAGTTAGCTGTTTGTTCAGGCTTTAGTGGTCTAATCCAAGGTATCACCTTATCTTGCATTTGTATTGTGTAAGGACCCCACAGTGTTTTCTAATTTTTTTTTCTGAATAGTGAAGGTTAGGACATGTCTGTTTGAAGAATTATTTTTCATGGTTCGTGTCCTGAAGCTATTTACAGTGGTGCCTCGCTTTACGATCACTCCGTTTAATGACGAAACCGCATTACGACGATTTTTTTGTGATCGCTTTTGTGATGTTTCCTATTTGTGATGATTGGTTCCCTGCTTCGGCAACCGATTCTTCGCAAAACGATGATTTTCGGACAGCTGATCGGCGGTTTCAAAATGGCCACCGGGTAAACAAAATGGCCCCCCGCTGTTTTCTGGGATGGATTCCTCGCTGCACAGGCAGTGAAAATGGCCGCCCTATGGAGGATCTTCGCTGGACTGTGAGTTTCCAGCCGATCAGAATGCCTTAAATGGGTTTTAATGCATTTCTATGGGCTTTTTAATTTCGCTTTATGACATTTTCATTCTACAGCGATTTCGCTGGAACGAATTAACGTCGTAATGCGAGGCACCACTGTACTTCTGAGAATTTTGAAAAGGCTTTTTTTGTGTGCAAAAATTTGAACTATTGTAAGTTTTTTAAAAAACAAGATTTTGTATAATGTGCATACAAATGTGTAAGCTAATAATGTAAACCCTGTAACATTAAAATATGTAGACAGAAAATAAGACAAGATGAGGGAGAATCACTTAAGATTTCTTCCTGTCTGATTTTCCTAACTCATGCTTTTTCACTTCAGGGACCAAAATATTTGTTTACCCTTCTTCTGGCATTTAGAACAAGACTTAAAAGTCTCAGCTCCTTAAAAAAATGACAAAAAGATCAGCAGCATTCTTGCTGAGTAAGAAGCAAATCAAAATAATGTAAAACTATCAGAGCAGAATCTACCCCCTGAGATAAAAAACACACATGGCCAATTATTTAATAGTCAGAACTCATGAGTTACGTTGAAGAAGTAACCTTCCTCTGTAACTCTTAAAATCATCCCTATTTGTGCTAATCTCAGGAGAACCATTTAGAAGCTCATATGCCAAAAGTCTTTTAAATTATGGTTGCTGTGCCATGCTTTTACACAAAGCAGCCATATTCTAATTCCTTCTTCAGCAGTTAAGGATAATTCAAGGTGCATCTTCAACTCACCTTAAATATCCTTATCCTCATAACTTTAATTGTTTTTAATTGGTTGAAGGGAAGAGGGAGAAAGAAGGAGAGCCAGGAATGATCTATGATTTAAAAGCGGAAATAAAAAAAGAATATGGTGATGCATTTTAAATGCTTCTAGCCTGATTCTAGTTTGAGTGTTTGATCTTAATCTGCAAGTGAATTTCATTGGTAACAAGAATAGTAAGGGCTTGTTCAGATGGGCATATGTCCTGCTGTTTGGTGTGTTGCAGGGGCAGATTAGTTTGCTCTTTTTTCTAGTGACTACATGACATAATCACTAGAGTGAACCAATTTGGCTCCAGAGCACCCTAACCCACACATTTTTGTGCCCTTGCTAGGGGCTTTTGTGTTTTCTATGTGTCTTGGCGCACACACGTTTAGTCCATTCCCAGTGTGTGCAATCCTTGAGAATGGACTAAAGTTGAGCTTTGCAACTGTCAAAGCTGCCAAGGCTCCTTCCACTGTCAATTTCGGATATTGTAAAGTGGCTTAATAATTGAGCCACTTCAAGGCATTTGTCAAATTGAGCAGTTTCTCTGCTCCCCTTTTGAGAAGCAGGAGGAATGAACTGTTTTTTGACTGTGCAAGACCATAACTGTTGTGCTGAATCACAAAGATTAATTAAAACAAAATGTGTTTGCCTTTGTGTGAAGTGCTCATCAGCAAATATAGATAAAAATGTAATCTAAATGATTCAGTACATGTGGTAGATCAGCGATGGAAAAATACTTTCGCTTCCATTTGGTTGGTTTAGTGAGATCTTGAGCAACACAGTACCTCTTCTCAGTGCTGTCCTCTGATGTCTGTCAGAGCTTTTCGCTCTCTTCCTATTTTGTGCATCATTTCGCTCATGCACATGCACACACAGGCACACACAGCAGTCAGGTGAGGGCAGAATCTACTGGTTCCTTTTTTTCTGGGTGGTTTCAACCCCCTTTTCTCTTTCCTGCTTGTCTTCATTTTCTTGCTTCCTTCTTCCTTTCCTGATGCAGAAGGAGAGAGGGGACTCCCTCACTTGCTGGCTCCCTCTCAGGATCTTTCTGGCTTCCTAGTACAGCAGCTTTGCGGTGCCATTCCCTTTTTTTGTTAAACATTTCTCGCCCTATTTCTCTTTTCCCTCTTTTGTTCAACTGAAAGGGAAAGTGTTCAATTAATACTTGACAGTGGAAGGAGCAAGAGGGTCACTTGAGGTCAGCATGTGATTTGGATGCAAGGATTGGGCCAAATAGCATTTCACTCCTCCCCACAACCCCAAGTGACCCTGTTTAGATTACACCAGCGCACACCCAAAGGAACAGTGTGGTTGCACCCTAAGTTGCAATCATAAAGTACTTAAATTGGTACCTTTATAAGTCTATTGAGCTTCATGAATTAGTAGGACAGAATCTGTTTTACCAGCTTTTAAAGCTGTGGTTTTCATTCTTGAACTAGTACAAAACATGATCACACTACAGATTTGCGTTAGCACAAAATAGCATCCTACTTCAGGTTTGCATTAAATACACTTTTGCTGGCAGAACACATTTAAGAAGAAGTCTATTACATTATAATGGATGCTGCATGGATTATAGTGCATACTGCAAAGCCGCAAACTTGCAACACCAATCTGAATGCCTTGGAGCCATCATGTTTGCAATCCTGCCAATGTATGAAATAAGACTAGAAACGTTTGAGAGCTATCATGTACCTACTCACAGAGAATATTGTTTTTGGTCCCACTGCACATAATGTACTGTGTATTCACATCTTTTTTTAAAACAACTGCTGTGGTTTGATCTCCATGAGGGAGCCCATTCCTCGTCTGTATCAATCTGAAGACCAGGAATATGAAGCTGTCTTATCATGATTTGGGAAAATACACATTTCTGTGTACTGTAATAATTCCATTCTGTAGCTGAAGATATAATTGTGTATGAATTTTATCCTGCCAGTTTCTGCACCAATATGGTGATTAGCAAGTGGTTGATAACTTCCTGGTGTGCACAGTTTTTCCCATTGGAACTAGAGATCATGACATCCTTCATTGCATTCCTCACTCTCATTGCCATATAAGTTTGAACCAAGATTTAACTCCAGACTTATTTTTCTTTATAAATCCCATCAAAACTGAATGAGAACATTTGAATGGGGATTTGAAATCCAAGCCTTTAAATATACAAGAGGTAATCATCTTGAAGATGACTTTTTTTTCTGTCTTGTGTCCTTTTGAGGAGAAAGGCAGGATAGAAATAAAGGAAATAAATTGACGTATTTTCCCACAGCACTTCAGGGTCCCATTTCATTATGCTGACTCGAGAGAGAGAGAGAGAGTATATCTGTACAACAGAGTTATAGCTATTTAGTGCCACTTTGACTGCCATGGCTTTCATTCTTTAAAATCCTGGGATCTGTAACTTCACAGTCTACTTGGTATTCTCTGCTGTACTGTACTTCAAGGAAAAGCACTAGAGCTTTCTGGTAGAGTGTTCTAAGCACCTCATCAAAATACAAGTCCCAGAGCTCCATAGGACAGAGTCATAGCAGTTAAAATGGCATCAAGCTGCTATAACTCCATAGTTTATGGTACTTAGTTTAATTGACATAGTTTACTTACAGAAGAACAGTAACACTTGGGAGGGGAGCTGGGAGGGACAGCTCTTCTCCAGGAGAGAAAGAGAGAAGCCTTTGCCTGTCACACTCAAGAGAGAATGAGAGAGTGCCTGTAAGAGGGGGAAAAAGTCAGGCAAACATATATACCCATTGGAACCAAATGAAAATATGTATGCTAACTTCAGATCCAGTATACCTTTCACCCTCCATCAGAAGACATGTATCCTGGGAGCATTAAGGTTTGGCATCTTGAAGATCCAAAATCTTTCCCAGTCCCCCCATCATACTGTATGTCCCAATGTTCCCTGTGTTTTTGCCATTATGGGCACATGCTGCGGAGTTGTCCAAAGAGAATTGGGAAAGGGTATCTAAGCCTGCATCTACCCTTTTATAGTCTGGCCTCTCTCTCCTGAGTGGGAGATAGAAACTGCAGAGTTTCGCCTTTACATTCTAAAGGGGAAATTAAAGTTATCAGTCTTGCAGGATCCTTAATCTGGAGAGCTAGTTACGTGACTTCTACTCAGGCAGCACTCTTTTGGTTTTGAATACCTAGCTCGTCCACCAAGTTTTATCAAAATACCTTATAAAAAAATCTTACTTCATTTTAGTTACTAACCTTGTAATTCTCATTCTTCTTCTGATGATTTGCTCATATGGTTTGCCGGTGGCATGATTCATTTTTTCCTAAGCTGCACTTGGATTGTGCAAAGACAGTGCCATTGTGGCAGGCACTGTGGTTACATCCCTAGATGTAAATAAGCTCAGTTCAGATGCCCATTTCAGTGAGCTGTCACTCCACAAAGTTGGATGAACAGTGTAGCATGGGAGAGGAGAATAGTCAACCTCTCCCTCTTCGCCACATGCATGAACAGGACTCTGGTATCTCAAATGAGATTCTTTGGATTCAAGAATAGGATGTTTCTCTTTGCAAAGAACAAAGCAAAAGCTTTTATATAAGGCAGGATGGAGCAATGAATATTATCAAACCATATGAGATAATCAGCACAGACAGACTATTGTAAAGACTGAACAGTGACATAATATGATCAAATAGTAATAAGAATGCACACGCAGAATGTTATTAGAATAATTATTTCCCCTCCCCCTCCTTTCTCTTATTTTTTTTTTCAGATTCGTTCGTAGCACTGAATGGTAAGGAACCTCCCTAGTCACATGTTGTATTAACACCTCTCTATGTAGATCAATTTTGAAGGAATCGTGTTTTGCAATCTTGACAAATATTTCCACATTTTTAGAATTGTTTTAATATTGTGCCCTACTTTTTTTTCATAGACATTTCAACTACACCATCAGATTATGAAATGTCTTACACAACATTGTATGGTTAGTTTTTGAATTTTTTAAAAAAACAAATTCTTCCTCAGATCTTCATGTTTGCTGGTAGTTCCAGTCCTGAATAGATAAAAGCGTCATTTTCATTTCTGGGCCTAGTTCATTAAACTGATACCAAGATTCCGTCTTCTTCCATACAGTACAAATATTTCAGCATTCTTTTCCTTCCAAGAAGTCTCTTTCACTGGGCTCAATGCAAAGTAAAGCTAAATATATTGTAAATGTGCATGCCTGGGGTATAGGAAAAAAAGGTCGTTTATATTCCAGACAAGGTTTGGGGAGTATATTTTGCTGCTCAAACTAGAATACAAAAAGATCCATACTGTTTCAAATCAAAGGTCCATGTGTTCATACACAGTGGCCAGTCAGTTACACCCTAGAAACCTATAAGGAGAATGTAGATGCAACAGTACTCTCCAATATATCTTCCCTGGTAACAGAAGCATATAAATAAGTTATGGATGGAAATATAGATATGCCATGGCTCACAGGGCACAATTAGGGCAATCTTTTCCAACTAGCATGGTATCCTGGTGCTTTATTACAAGGGAAACATGGGCTTTCCTTTCCTTCTTAAAATTTCACTGTACCTTTACTGTGCATCAGGAGAAGTATTAAATATAATTTAGTCTTCAAATCCACAGTAATCCAAAACCATAAAAGAAATTTCATAGAATCATAAACTATGGGCTTGTATTAAATAAAATATCTTCTCTAAATTAGTCTTCATTTATTTGTTCAATTATAACCTGCATTTCTTTCAGTAAGGGACTCAAGATAGCTTACAAAATATCTAAAAGACATGCAGTTAAAAATAGATTAAATGACAATATCAAAAAGCAATAAAATTGGTTAAATATTCAAACAACATCTGAATGAAACATTTAGAACTATTTAAAAGCACTTTAAAAGTTAAGAAGTACTACATTCCCCCCCCCTTTAAAAAAAAAAAAAACATACCTTCCGTAGCGTCCACTTTGGGTTTTTCCATCTGGGTCTGTAAATTTGCAAGTGACATTTGTTTCCAGGTATGATACTGAAAACACAGGAAGACTGCTGCGGAGATGCCTGACCATTGTTTTGCATGGAGGACAGTTTCATTTTAATATAGACATTTTGCTCCATACACAATTAACAAGACATTTTCAATATTATACCTCTGAACCAGAGACTGAAAAAATTATTTTCCTAGTCTACAATTCCTTGGCCATGCCAGTGGCAGATGGTTAGAAGTTGTGATTAAACAAGTTACTCCTTCCAAGCTCTGATGTAAATATAAAGCGGTAATTGAAACATTGTGAGGATGTCTGCTTGTGAAAGGAGGAAAGGATTCATGTTCCTTTCACAGTCAAGGACAAGCAGCAGGATCATTAGGCTTTTAATCTATGGCTAAAATCCAGTAGTAAGTTACAACAAGAGTAGACCCATTGAATCAATGGGGATTTGGTGAATCAGCACCTATGTCAGTTCCATTGATTCAGTGGGTGTATTCCTTTTGTCACTAACTACTGGATTTCAGACTATAAATCCTCAAGACTATATGCAATGAATAGTCTATCAAATCACTACAACTTCAAGGAAAATACACTATTACACTCATTGTACACTTATTGTACCTGGAAGGATGCTGCATAACATCCCAACTAGCATATTCATTGCTCCTATGATTGTTCATATCCAGCATTTCCTTCTGGATGGAGCAAGAGCCCCTCAGCAGAGTTTTGCTCAGAGCAGTCCTGCCACTGGAGAATGGCAGGGAGAAGAAACAGTCTTTGCCAGGTTCACCCCTACCCAACCCTTTGGGGCAGATTTTTGCAAGGACACATGAGGACTGCAAGGAAAGTTGACAAAAATGACCCTCTCCCATATGCCACCAGCAGAAATGCTCTGCTGTATCTAGAGCTTTCTAGTTCAAGGAAACCTTGATCAGAGGACCAGCATAATAAAGGAAGAGAAATATTCCATTTCCATATGCCTTGCACATTTTGCAAAATATGTAGGGAGGAATTGCAGAAGATGTATTTCAAAAAAGTAACTTTTCCAAGCTTTGCTGCTATGCCTGGTTCTTATATGGTGCGTGTATAAGACCTTCTCTTTTATCAATAACAAAGGTAACGTTCAGCAGCATTTCAGTGGCAAACAACCTTTCTTCCTCTTTGTAGGTTTATTCCAGGTGCCAGATAAAATAAATAAATCCGTAATACTCATTGTGTAAACATTTGTTCCATAAACACTTTTTCCCTCTCAGTTATAACCAAATAAAAGGAATTGGTTTTTCTTGTAAAGAACATTACAGTGGTGCCTCGCATAGCAATCGCTCTGTTTAATGACGAAATCGCTTTACGATGAAGATTTTGCGATCACTTTGCGATGTTCCCTATGGGGTATTTTCGCTTTGGATGATCGATCATCGCAAAGCGACCATTTTCGCACAGCTGATCGGTGGTTTCAAAATGGCCGCCGGGAGGAAAACATGGTCACCCACTGTTTTCTGGGACAGATTCCTCGCTTAAGAGGCACCAGAAATGGCCGCGCTATGGAGGATCTTTGCTGAACAGTGAGTTTTAAGCCCATAGGAATGCATTAATTGCATTTTAATGCATTTCTATGGGCTTGTTTATTTCGCATTACGACGTTTTCGTTCAACAATGATTTTGCTGGAACGAATTAACATCGCAGTGCGAAGCACCACTGTATATCCATTTCAGCTATAATTTAAGTATTTCATTTGTCTGCCCTGGTGAAATGCATAATTGAGTGGCAGAGTGATAGAGGGAATTACCATAGTAAATTCCCAAATGCTAAGCAGTAACTGGTTTTCTCCCCTTTGATAATTTTTGCCCATTATAATCACGTATTTGCTTATTCTATGCTTTCCTCCACTTATTCGTTCTTTGGTTTGTTGGCATCTGCACTGGAAGATAAACTCCTGTGATCTTTTCTAAAACAGGTGACAAAACTGAAATGCCTGTATATCTGACCTTCTGTACACTGGATTTTCCCACATCCAAAATACTCCTGCCAACCATGCAAAACACCTGCTCTGTCCCAATTTTTTTTAAAAAAAAATCTAATCAAAGACACAAAGACTGGAGGACAAAACAGGCTTTCTTCCCACAGAATTTTCTTCTTATATGCATCAGTTTTAATGAACCAGGCCCTCATGTGCTATGGTTACCTCTTGTCTCCCTCTGTAATCTTGAATTAACTTTCCTGATTCATCGTCTTACTAGGTTGCTCCTCTTGCCTAACAGAATAGTGCATAGAGCAGGTTTGTGTCTGCTGTTTCCCAGAGCAAATGTCACAATGTGTTGATGACAACATTTTCAACAGCATTGTCATTCAGTACTGCAGCAACATCCATTTTCTTGTCTTTTCTTTTGTTGCATATTGTTATTTTATAAATCACACTGTCATAAATTTAGTGTGTTAATGCAATTCAGATTTCTAAATTAGGCTCAAATTAAAAACCTAACTTGAAAACCTGAAGTTTGAAAAAAGCAATGCTTTAAAAATATTATATTGATGCTAAGTCAAATCAGTTACAGTAATATTTCAAAAGGGAAATGTTAATTATTCTGGGAGACTTCTGTTTAATTCCCTTTGAGGTATTAAACTGAAGGTATGTTCAGATCACAGCTATATTAATATTAGATTGTGTATGCCTAACTTTCATTTTCAATAATTTTGGTATTACACAAGTTCATAATACATCATTCTTAGAACTCAGTAGTACCATAGTCCTAATCCTAAACATTCTTACTTGCAAGTAATCCCATTGCATTAAGTTATTCTGCTGAATAGTGGAATTATATTACAGTGTACAAATGTCATTAATAGATCTGCATCCTAAAGCATTACCTAATAGCTGTGTATATTCTTGTGCATATGAGGCCACTGCAAGGAATTCGTTGACTGTTCCAGAAAGGCCTGTCTGTCTTGTCAGCACTATGTGTAGTGATCTGTTGGTCTGTCATAGTATTGAGCAATTCTTTATGTTGCATAAGAATGAATATCGGCAATGAATGGAGCAGGGCTTTGTGCTAATATTTTAAGGGTAAGTATTGCCAAAAGTTTGACCCAACTCCAGGAGGCAGTGGAAGATAGGAGGATCTGGCGTGCTTTGGTCCATGGAGTCATGAAGAGTTGGACACGACTTAACGACTAAACAACAACAATTGCCAAAAGAGGTTGGTACATTGCAGAGAGGCTAGATTTGAAGTAGAAATGGTTTAGTATCCCCTAGTCTGATTGGGCTCCCTTTGCTTTCTCTCCCTTCTTCTCCCTCTTGTACCAAGATGGGAAATTTATCTTGATTACACGTAGAAAATCATTTCTCAATGTGCAGTAGACTAACACATTAGTAGCACAGTGAATAGGTTCATTTTTCGGATTTGTGTGAAACACTTCCTTGCCGTACTACCATCTGGCACTCATTAATTTCTTTACATAGCTATAGCTTTCCATTATCAGTGAGTTCTCCACATAGTTGAAACATATGGTTCAGGAACACTCATTGCACAGACTGTGTCCCCTGGGCAAATATTTCCCCTAGATTACCGTATTAAGAAAAGGTTTTCCTTAACCATATGCACGGCTTAACCATAAAACAGCCCCTTGAACACAGCTAAACTGAAAGTATCAATACTGACATGTGGATGCAAAAGGCATGTCAAATCCAGCTATAAAATCTGACTGCTATTTGGCAATGGCTTGGGCCACATATAATGCCTTTAAATACAACTAATCATTTTCTCATGCTGAGAACAGTATCCCTTGTGGAGTTGAACAAGACTTTGTGAGGTACTATACAAATGGTCAGGACAGAGGATATTTGCCAGTAGTTACTCTAATTGCTGGTAAGGAGAGAATGAAAAACCCATGATTTGCATGGCTCATCAGTGTATTAAGACTTGGGAGCTGTTGCTTAGAGATGACTATGAAATTGGTACAGTGTAGATGCACATTCTGTGGGATATATGTATTGCAGTAGTCCAAGTTTCAGAAGCCACCTGCTTTCACTTTTTTTCTATAACGACCCTTTTGCTAAGGTAGAAAATGTTTTTAAATTCAAGGTAGTTAAGTGTATCAGAATCCATTCAGGGATTGAAGCCAAGATTCCTAGCAATTTGCTTCTTGCTTTATAGATATAGTTAGACAACACAATATATTCCCAAATGCCAAGTATATGTTTTGGTACAGGGTTTTACATCTCCCTTCCACTCCTGCCTCCACCTCTAATTTAAGGGAGTTTTTAAAGGGATTGTTTTGGAAACCCCAAATGGCAGTCTCCATTCTTTCATTATTAATAGGCACTGGTGGAATAGCCCTCCCTGTCAGGGTAGATAAAGAATAATGCATTGCCCTTGTCAATGTAATTCTTCAGCCTGGGGTACAATCACATAAATTAATCATGGTAATGATTAGCTGTTGTATCTGATGGCTCCAGCCATGGTAACACAACTATGAATTTGACCTGTTTTCCTGCACTCCACTTACATGCATGAGAAAGTAATACAACAGGGCTGGAAAGAATTCCTTAACTAATCTGAAAACATAATAAGGCAGAGAAGAATAATTTCCACCTTTGCCACTCTGCATTGAGCAATCTACATGCACACATCCCATGCCTTCTCTTGCCTTCATCCTGTCTTACCCATTCTCCCTACCTAAATAATCTATTCGTCTTCATTAATCTACACACACACACAAATACATCAATAACTGTTTTCTCAAAACTAATAGTCTTGGCCAATAAATAACCTTATCATTTTCTTCACACGCTGTGTCTCATTGTGCTGTAAATGTGGGTATGAGTCCTTGACTTTAAAGAACATGTATTCATCATTGACCCTGAATGTTCAAACAATATTATTCTTCCATGGAATTATCTTTGTTACCAAGAAGCTTATTTTCATGTTCTCTAACTATATTTATGATGCAAACAGGACACTCCAGTTCCCTCCTTCCCAGTACCACCACTTCAGACTCTCCAGCCCAAGAGGGCTATGATGCTGGGGGGCGCATGCTAGATTGGAAGGATCCAGTTGGCTCTTCTGAGAACATAAATCCATATGTGGCTGTTTCATCTCATAATCATCAGGACAAGAAGGGTAAGGCCTTGGAAATCATTCTTCCTTCAGTGGGAAGTGAGGGGGAGTGACTGCAGTGTGACTGCTTCCAGCTAGATGTGGTAAGACACCATAAAACTCTTGCCCTTTAATTAAAAGCTTATCGTTAAATGAAGGAAGGAGTAAAAGAGGATGAAAGAAAGACAAACAGAAGCTAAGTAATAAATTTTAAAATTTGGTTTCAGCTGTTCAGTGGCTAAGAAAACCATGCAGAACAAATGCAGACACATTAACATGGAGAGTGTTTGAGGACAAGATTCAGAAAGTTTAAGCTAGAACAGATGATGATGACAATGATAGAAGATGAGCTTTGGTTTTACATTATTCACCACTTTGCACTTCCAGTGGACTGCTTCGAAGTACTTTTGATGTTTAATTCATTTGAGTTACAGGCTCAAGACACTTAGATGTGTTATGCAGAGCCCACTGAAATTAAGGGCATCATCCACTAAAAAGGTTCCCTGATCAAGCTGACTGAAAATTAATGGCAATAAGAACTGAATCATGTTCTTCATTAAAAGGTCCATTCCCTATCATAAACATATATGTGCATTCACGCACAGAGAGTGAGAGAGAGATCAGTGTAATGATTAGGAGATCCTGGTTCTAGACCCTACTGAGACATAAAATTCAGCAGGTGATCTTGAGCCAATAACTGTCTCTCAGCCTGACCCATTTCATAATGCAGTTAAGATAAATGGAGAGGAGGAATGTCATGAATGCTACCTTAAGCACATTAGGAGAAAGGCTGGATACAAATTTCACCACAACACTGCCACAGCTCCCCTTAATTTCACTTGGCACATGTATGAGAATACTATTCAAATAATAATAATCTTAGAACTGCAAAGCTGGAAGGGGCCCTACAGTTCTGAGTCCGGCCCCTCTCAATGAGGCCCAGTGGGGAATTGAATTCCCAGCCTCTGGTTCTGCAACCACTTGCCTAAACCATCCAGCAGTTCCCTCAGAGGGAGAACAAGAGCACTGCTGAGACAACACTCCTGTCGTCATGGGGAAAGTGGATTTGGAGCCACTGGTTTAAATTGCCTAAAAATCTCTGAAACTGTTGAGAGTGGGGATGTCAGTTTTACTTGGTTTAATCAGTTGATTAATTAACTACGTCTTTTTGGTTGGTGCTCACTTTAAACACTAAGATAGCAACTTTGTTTTTTATCAAAAGCCTCATTGGTTTGTATCTGAGGCTGTTTTCCTTGTGATAGCTTGCTGTAATGGGGAATTGAACTGTAAGTTATCACATGGTGATGTTAGTATCTCACAAACACATGTATTTAGTTATTCATTTCAAAGTTATATGCACTGCTCTATAGCAAAGCTTCCCAGGTAGCATCCTAAGCACAAGATAAGTTGCTTAAATAAAATACAATAAACAAAAGCATGAAACTACATTTAAAATCACTGGGGAATAATTGGCACAAAAAGGAAGCAGGATTACTCTTTAATGAGGCAGGTTCACAAAAGGACGACTATCATGAGAAAATCTTTTGTCTCTGGCCATCGCCTACCTTACCTTCTATATTGGGAGTACCAGCATCTATCGGCCTCTGTGTATACTAATACCGAGGTGGGTTGGTATGGGGACAGACATTCCTGCAGACACCTTAGTACCATGCCACACAGGATCGTTAAAAGTAAGCAAGCATAATAGTGCACAGAAATGAGTTAGAAGCCAATGGTATATTTTTCCCAGTACTGACAAAATAAGTTCCCAACACAGTCAATCCCAATAACAGCCTGGCAGTTGTGTTGTAAATTACAGATACGAAACAGTCTTAAAAGGCACCCACACAAAAAATGAAATATAGCAGTTGGTATTAAGTGTGACCGAACAATGGGTAACAGTGGTGAGACTGTCTCTGACCAGGGAGGCTGCAGGTGGATATTAGCCTCAATTGATTAAAGGTGCTCCTTGACGCACAGACTAACTGGGTCATTTGTGTTAAAGGTATACCTAAAAGTGATGAAGACCTTAGACATTTATGCATTTATTTAAAGTTAATAAAGTAATTCTTTGGTTAAAATTCAGGTACTTAATCAACTAAAGATTCTTCAAGCAGTTGATATACCTTGAGGTTTCAAAGACAGCCCCACCTACTTGATGGAAAGCACTTGTTCTTGTGGTTTTTAGACTTTATTAGTACATTGCACAGCAGTTGCTTTAATGGGCAAGCAGGCTATTTTTTGAGCCATTTTGCATTCTCTTTACAAATTTCAGAAGCCTCTCATGAAACTACTCATAAGTGTAAAGCTGATGGGTCATAATTGTTTTCACTGGAATTTTCCTAACGATGAGATTGCCAGGAGACTTTATTAGCTCTTGACTTGCTTATTAAAATATCACAGATTCTTTGGGGCCTAATTAGGACTCTTACCAAAGCTGGAAGCAGTCTGTACAAGTTAAAGCAAACAAACAATGGTGGCAGAGGTGACCGCATGGTTGTTTATCATTATCACATATCTGTGTGCTGTCCCTCCTTCCCTTGTCCATGCCAAGCCCAGCTGGCGTACAGAAAATAACAGTTATTTATCTAGCTACTTATTTACTGTTCAAGGGCAAAGGAAAGAGTTGTTATGCCAAGAAAAAAAATGTCATGCTTAATCTTTGTTGTGCTCACTTTGGTTGTGGATTTTTTTCCTTCACAAAAATATTTATTTTTCTGCTTTATATTTTTGTTATGCAAAGTGCTATGTTGGTGTTACTTTGTGGTTCTGTTATTCTTGTGGAAGACGCTTCCCTTTCTTTTCTCCCCACCCCTACCCAATAATTGACTTGCTTTTAATTGTACTAATTTTTCAGCCACTTGCTGCTTTGTTTTCCAAGTCACTGATGCCTTGATGATGTCACATCCATATGTTCAGCTTTTAATTCAGTGCAAACTTCTTGGGGGAATATCTTGAAACAAATGCGAGAAATGGGAAGGGGGGATAATTAAATGGGTTGACTCATGGGAATGTGACATTTGTGCACACTGCAGCTTTAGTAGCTAAATATACTCCGGAATTGCTGCTCAGAGAGATCTCACAATTCTTGGCCAGATGAAAGCATGGATTGCAGTGCACAGCATAGAAGCTGTCAATTGCTTTCCTTCTTGCCATTGCATTTTGATCACTGAAAAATATAACCCATTGATGAGAGAGATGGAGGAGGAAGAGGAAAAGCATTATCCCCTTATGGCCAACAATTTTTTTTCAAATTTTACTTGGCAAAATTACACAAGTTTTTCTGTTGTTCACTTTTCCGGAGTATGTTTTTATTTTGCTTTTGTTTCTTGCTATGTCTGCAATGTTAATTTAATTGTGTGTTTCTCACCTTCATGAAAGCTGGTGTTTCTTACACTGAAATCTAACTCTCCCTTCTGCTGCCATTGTACATAGTCTCTCCCTCTGCTGTCTTCCCAGTAGAAACCCTTTTCTGTAGAATGTTCCAAGGCTCTACCCTCTTTACTACAAAATAGTGCTACAGTGCTGTGTTTAGACATTCTACTAACCAAAACAGTGTAAAGGAAGAAAGCGGAGCAATTTTCTCAAGCAATAACGGGGCTTTGCCCCTTCATTGTCCTCCTGCCCTTTCTCTGTCTTTTTGCTTCTTTAGAAATGTCCAATATATTTCAAGGCTTATATTCATTAGTCAAAGACACTGCCTACTGCTCTGTTTCCACTCTTAGACATTAAATGTCCAGAACGTCTCAAGCTGTCCCTTTTTAGTCCAAGTGTTGAAAATGAAACACAGATGTGGCTTCAGCTTTGTTGGGTTGGCTGAATTTGTTGCAATGCTCTAGTCATTTAAAGTGGGGTCAAATGGTTTGTCCCACTTAATTCTGCAAGCTTGAGAGGTATTTTTAGCTGATGGTGTAGTACTGTATTATTCTTTGCATTCGGGGGAAAAATCCCAATACTTTCCTTCTCTTAAAACATACTTGGTTAGATTCAGATAATCATGCTTCAGAGTAAACTAAATTTATCACAATTTTAATATATATTTTCTTAGAACAAGTCAGGACGAACAAGTCCCATTGTTCCAAATATGTCAGTTCTGAGTATGTCTGAATCTAACCTGAAACTAATTAGTCCTCAACTAAAAATGTTTTATTTTTCAAAAAAAGAACAAAGATGGTTGAAAAGAAGTGATCCACTTCCAATCAGCTTCCTTGCTCAGCTATACGAGTTCATTTTCATAAATCATAACACAAGTTGTTTATTCTCATAAGCTGTGCTGCACAACACCTACTGCTTGCACATGGTTGTGAGAAAATACAATGGAGAAAATACTGAGATTTAAAAACAGCCATTGTCCTGAATAAGTTAGTATCTGAACAGTGTGTAGTGAAAATGAAACGACAGTCAAATGTAGGAACTGACTGTTAACAACCATCATTCTTTTGTGAACTCCCTTGTATGTGGGGCGGGGCGGTATTGGTTATGAACATACAAACAAAGAGGAATAAATATTAGAGATCCTGCATTATTTTTAGAAAGGTACAGATTGTACATATTTGACTAACCTTTCTCATTTGTTTGAATAATATCGATAAAGCAGACATCAAAGGCAATTTAAAGCCACATTTCTTTCAACATGCATGAACCATTGAACGGTTCCTTTTTTTTTTTAAGCTAGCTACCTAATTTATATCTGGAAGAGAAAGTAGCCTGAAAAAGTTACTATCTAGCCTGTGAGTAGAGATGGGCATGAACCGCTGGTTGGGTTGTTCAGTGTGGTTTGTTTGCACCCTCTTGGTGGCAGCACCCTGCCACACCTCCTCTGGGCAATGCCTCTGGGGGGGGGGTGCCTGCTGGGGCACCAAACTAAGGATCAGTTGTTCATCTGGGAAACGAATTGCACCAAAACCAGCAATTCATGCCCATTTCAACCTGTGGATATTAGTAGCATTTAAATGCTCAGAATGTGCCCAGAGAGATCTGATTCTAGTGTTTCACTTCTCACGTGGAGGTAATCAAGAATGCTT